GAACTCCAAATACTCGTGTCAACTTTGCACAATATCGAGTATTCTGCGTTAGAATTTTTAACAGTTCACATCTCGTATCGTGATGTTTTTGAGCAACTAAGTAAGGAATTTCCGTTCTGCTCCTCCTCATCTTATATCTACTGATTGCTGCTCCATCTTTTTTCATATTGACCTAAGTGAGCTTGGGCTTCTCAAAGGCGGTGAGATTCTAAGTCTTTCAAACTTATGTGGATCTGCTATCTTGGATATAATCTAGCCTTTGTTTATAAAAGAATATCTAGACACTATTCATCTTCTTTCTGCTAGTTTCTTCAAATATTCTTTAGTCGAGGGTTGTTGACCGATAAAAGAGTTTTTTCATGACGCTAGGAAGTTGAAAGCTTTTAGTTACGGACTGATTTCCGCACTCCTGATTGTCCCTGAAATCAAGTAATGAGTTCTGATAGTATCGTTGTGAAACTACCTACACGGTTACTTTAGGGTCACCGGATTACAACTAAGCTATACAAACCTACTGGCTAGAAGTTCCCATTAGGACATGAATACTCTGTGCACTTCGGTCTCGGAGATTTTTCCGAGGTATTTGAAACGGTTGATGATCAAATTCTTTGAGTAAATCTGATGTTAGTGAGCATTAGTATGTACCCGATGAAGTGGCTTTTGGATTAAATATGGAAAAGATCACAAGCCGAAAGTTGATGCTCCGTCATATCTGATTGTTTATTGGTGACATATAGAGTACTACAAGATGCGTCTCCCTAACCACCTCTTTTTCTGGTTATTTGTCTGCCGCTCTAGTCTTGTGAACTATGCTACATGTAGATCATTTAAGACCTGGTGAGATATACTAGTTCACTCAAATCTTATTTGCTTAATATAACTTGGATAAGATGTACTAATAGGGTGCTGAAAATCTCCTCTCTCAATACCACAAAATGTAGAGTGCTAGCTGTGAATATAGGTAATATTCTATCCACTTTTTATTTTCTAAATTATTCAGCATCTCATCCCTAACCACAATAAACAGCATGAAAATCACTCTATATGATGTTTTACGTGCTTCCTACCATTGATATTCTCAAACATCAAGCATGCTCAGTCTCTAGCTTTCGTCGCATAAAATCAGGTTGCGTGATTATTTAATCATTTACTGTTTTCAGTAATTACTGAAGACCTAGTTTTTAAAAATCTATATCATACCCCATATCTTAAGAAGGGATATCAATCTTCTGAAACGTGCTCAAAGAAGAACCGCCTAGTAAGCATTCAATCCGGAATAACCTTAATCAACTCACCTAGGAGCTTTGAATTTACCACCTACAAAGTACAGAAAGATAAGAAGTATTATTACCTAAAAGTATCATCATTTTTGGTTTGACAGATCAGTAATCCGTGAATAGCCTATTTTGTATAGACTTTCTTAAGAAAGCCCACTTTTACTGCTGATAATGCATGTAAATGTTAGTAGTTGGGATCTATCCGTAAGGTTGTAGTTAGCGGTGTCTTTGTTTTTAAAGTAACGACACTGTGGTATCGTGACGCTTTTTTGCGCTACTTCTCTATTTCTGCTTTGCGTACAGCCAAACATCGAAATCAATTATAAATAAATTTGAAGCTTTATTTTCTGATTCCAAAACTGAGTGCTTTCAGGCTATAGACAAATCTACTGAATGTTGAACGCCAAGAGGTTTTCGCTCCGGGGTCATTTAAAAGTATTGTCTATCTATCATTAGTAGCCATCTAGGTGGAGGCAGAATATGCGTATGGCTAACAAATGTTTGGTTGTTAAACGGTTTATGTTGCAAAAAGCGATAGAGTTATAATTTGCATACATCCCTAACGTTATTAACGAAGGTTTTTGAGGTATCCCGATCCCCCGATTTGAGCGAAAATTTTACAAATTTTGGGGAAGCCGCTGTAGAAAATTTTGGGGAAATGGCACAAAAACCCAAAAATTTCCCCAATTCTGATTTATCGCGACAGATCGGTTCTTGTTACTATTTGTAGTTGAATTGTTCTGCTACTGCGTTTACTGTGAAAAGTTAACAAGGAAAAATGGAATGCATGAATAGAAACCTTTGGGCACTTAATATTCCAGGGAAATTCCCCGAAATTTATTGTGTTAACAGAATATTTGTTCACAATTTTCAACTGTTATCAGAGAAAAGCCTGGCAACTTAAGTAATAACAATCCAAAAGTTTCTATCCATGTATTCCGATTTTTTCCTGTTAACTTAGCACAGTAAACTCAGTACAAGAGCAATTTAACTACAATCGGTAATAGAAACCGATATGTCGCGATAAATCAGCACTGTTGTAATTTAAAGGCTGATTCGTCACACATGAAAATATTTGTTAAACTTTAGTAAAGTATAATAATAATAATAATAATATATTTCTGCATGTGCAGGTACACACCGTTTTTACAGGCATGATCTATAAATTACAATATTTGTTGGTTCGCAAAATGCTTCCCAACTTATTAAGTTTATAGTTGTTATAAAGTGAGATCGTAGAGCGCTTGCTGTAAACTATGACCTTGAGAGGACGCGTACGTTAAGTTTGCTCCAAACGTCAGAAGTTTCATAGTTGTGCTCTCAGAGCAAGATTCTGAAGGAGAAAAAAAAAAGAAACAGAGGAGCAGCAAGGCACTTGGATATGAACGCCAAAGGTTGCTTAACATTGTGTAGTAAAACGGACAGAGGTATAATAAATTAGAATAAATTCATATTATGTCTTGTTAGAGTGAAGTGAAGTCAGAGGCTCCATATTAGAGAATGTACTAATAAAGAACAACGAGTAGTGATGTTTAACAAGTTGGAGTAAGCTCACATGAAGGAAGGGAAGTCAAGGTTGGTACAAGGGAAGCGGTTTATTAGAAGGGTGTATATATAGAGGGTGAAGTGTTAAGAATACTAGTGACTATATCTTTTATTGTCTTTTTTCTTTTCTTTTTTTGTCCATCCGATGTCAGCCACGCAATCCTAGTGTAAAAGTCCGAGTTAGCATGTTATAGGTTGTCTTAGTAGAATAGCTAATCCAGCATATTATTGGAAACATGAGTCTGAGTGGTGAGCGTAGGAAGACAATCTATATCTTAGATTGACTGTCTTATTCTCAATTATAAAGAGCCTGATACATACAAAATGTTCTGTCCCCACAAACACGGGTGGATTGAAGTTATCGCCCTCACCATCAATGCTTGCTGGTCAGTAACTCCACCCTCCCTCCTTTTGTGATGTTAGGCTCATTTAAGCTTATTTTTGTATATACGTCATACCTCACACAATCCTCTGTTTCACAACTTGTTGGAAAGCACTATTTCTATAAGTACCATTTTACAAGCTTATCAGGCAGTTACAAGCTGTGGACTGTGGGTAAAGCATCGATGCAGTGCCTCTGTTGACTATAGTATAAAGTATAGTTTGCCAAACAGAGTATAAGCGTTAAGAAGGGTATATTGTAGGATAGTTGTTTATTTAAGCAGGCGGAAAAAGTATAGAAGTATGAGTTGTGGATAAGGGAACGAGTAGAGAAATAATATTAATTGCTAGTCAACATTGTGTACAGAAGAGTAAAAAGTTAATATAGGATAAACAGGAAGGAACTCACAGTAACTTGGTGCTGATGTTATTTTCTGTTGTCTTAACCAGTTGATTGGTAACAGGTTCCATAGATGCAAGACCACTGGTAGTAGGCAGCCGATTGTCGGGTCCTCTTGACTTTTTAGGGTGGTAGTGATTGTCCCTTATCGACCGAGTTTAGTTTGACAGTAATGATAGGTCCAGTGAGTTACCTGTCTACTTCAAGTGAAGAAATGGGGTGGAAAAAGTAATTAATACAACTGCAAAGTAGGAAAAATAAGGCAAACTGAACTTGAAGTCCATTTTGGTCTAGACATGGAGAGAGCCTATGATGTCTGAGTGGGGTGCAGATGTGTTCGTACGTGCAAGATCAGTGCGAGTGAGGGCTTGATCAAGCAGTTTCACAAACGTATGTAGTTCATCTGCCATGCGAGTCTCGGAAGGAAGACTGTTCCATATTATTGCATACTTGGTGAGGAAGAAGTTTTCCCGAGTTTTTGATCTGTATTTCTCAACTTTGACCGTAGATACTTTGTTTCGAAGTTCGTATTCATGTGAATCTCGGGCAAGAATTATCTGACATGTTGAGTAAGTAAGGTTTTTGAGTAGTTTGAAGTAGAGAATCAAATTAGACCTAAGCCTTCTCTCCCAAAGGGGTGCTATTCCTAAGATTTGGCATCGAGAACTGTAGTCAATGACCGAGCCAGTCTTAAGTATTTTGCGGGTGAAGTCTCGTTGTATTCCTTCCACCTTTAGTATATCAGATAGACGTAGGTTGGAAAATAAGAACGAGCAGTATTCAACGATAGGTCTTACACAAACTTTGTAAAGAAGGATTTTAGATTCATTTTGATAGAATTTACGGAGAATGAAGCCAAGTAATTTCCGCATTTTGGATGCTTTGGCTGAGATGTGTTCAGAGAAATTAAGACTGTGTGAATAATGTACCCCTAGGTCAGTTACTGATGCCAGTCTGGGGAGTGCGTGATCGCTAATTGTTAGTTTCATTTTAAGAGACGTGTCTCCTATACATAACCAGCCGCATTTCTCTATGTTGAGCTCTAACCTCCAGCGTTTGCACCAGTCATCTACCATGTTGAGTTCATGTTGGATTGTTTGCATAGTACTGCGTAAATCGCAAATGTCAGTTTTATAGATGACTTTTAAGTCATCGGCATAGAGGTAGGTCTTACCTGTGCTGAAACACCTGCATATATTGTTGATGTAGATTATAAAGAGCAATGGACCCAAGACACTACCCTGCACAACACCACTGGTTATCGGTCGAGGTGTAGATGTATTAGAGTTAATCTTGGTTATTTGATATCTGTTCGTAAGAAAAGACTTGATCCATTGCAAAAGGGGATTTATAATTCCAACTGACTTCAGTCTGTTGATTAGAAGATTATGAGGTATTTTATCAAAGGCTTTCTTAATATCGAAGTATAGTATAATAACTAGTTTCTTCTGGTCACGCATACGAGTAACCTCGTTAAAGAAGTCTATCAGGCATGTACTGCACGACCTTGTTCTAATGAAGCCGTGTTGTGACGGGTCTATCAGGTCTTCCTTGAGTAGGTGATCAGATAGTTGATTTTGTATCACTTTTTCCATTATGCGTGATATGACTGGAGTGATATTTATAGGTCTGTAGTTTTCAACCAGGTTTCTCGGTCCGGATTTGTGTTTGGGTAGAACATACGTTACCTTCCAGGTTTCCGGATATGTACCTGTCTCTAAAGATAATGTGTATATTTTGAGTAGTAGCGTCTGTATGTCCGGCCCTGACATTTTATAAACGATTGAAGGGATGTCATCGGCACCAGAACTCGCATTTGGTTTAAGGGTTTTAATGGCGGTATGTATACTCGTAATGTCGAAGTTTATGGTACTAAGATAGTTTTTGCCGGTGCACTTTATGTCGATATCTGGGGCATCAGATGTATTCCCATTGTGAGAAAACCATTCACTTAATAGTTCACATATGACGGTTTGGTCATTATACGTTACTCCATCGTGCAGTAAGGAGTGAATGTTGTTGTCTGTGTTCTTTCTTATGCGTTTCGTGAGGAGACGACATAGGGCTTGGGCTTTAGATGCAGCAGCGAGCGCAGTACGTTCCTCTACCTGTTTATGCTTGTTGTGTTGACTTTGTACTCCGTCAAGTACAGAGTATATCTGGTGCAGGGCACTGAAGTCTTTTGATATATAGTACATCCTTTTCAGTTTTCTCAGTTTAGACCTAGTCTTTTGGTTTATATAGGGAGTAACTGTTTTAAAACCAATTTTAGAGGGTATAGTGGTGTCTAGTGCAGATTTGGTGGTGATATTGAATATTTCTAATGTTTCTAAGAGGTTATTACTGGTAAAGAAACTGCCCCAGTCAGAGTGCTTTATTAGAAATCGAAAGTTTTCCCAGTCAGCGTTTGCATAGTCTCTGTATTGGAATCGCGTTTTTAATGTCTTTAATTTGTTGCATATGGCAAGAATCGGAAGGGTGCAGAGGACTATTTTATGATCGCTGTTGTGAAACTTTTCGCTAACCACCATTGATGTTGGTGTGACACTATGACAGAATATCAAGTCAAGAATGTTGTGATTTCGTGTAGGCAGGTGTACATGTTGTTGCCAGCCGTGTATGTCTAAGGACCTAAGTATGCTTTCAAAGCACAATGGGCCAGAATGTGTCTTCCAGTTGATGGTGGGAAGGTTGAAATCACCACATACAATTTTGTATGTGAAGTCAAGCGAGGCAGCCTGAGCAAATGACTCACTTATAATAGTGTCAGTTGAACTAGGAGTGTTAGGAGCTCGATATATGCATCCGATTAGTATTTTACATTCATGAGTGTGCACAGTAAGCCATATCGATTCAGGAAGTTTGCTGAGGACGTGGTCGCTATAGGTTTCCGCTCTCAAATTTTTTGATACATAGACGAGACAACCACCACCCTTCTTGGTGACTCGATCACAGCGGAAGAGCTCATAGGTGTCTATTTGTAGAAATGTGTCTGTGGTATCGGAGGACAGCCAACTTTCCGTTATCAAAACAAGTGAGGGGTTGTTTAAAAGCAATAGGGTGCGTAGGTAAGTCATCTTACTTTGTACAGATCTAGCGTTGATTAACATAAGTGTCAGGTACGGTGACTGTTTGTCTAGTAGAAGGGTATGATGTAAACCGAGTGGTTTGTCTGTTTTGCCCTGAGAAAAGGAAGAATTGGGAGCGTTGACTCCATATTGATGAGTGTTTAGTTTGTTACCATTAGGGTTAATGCAAGAAGGGTAGTCGGGTGTGGTTTTGGTGAAAGAAGTATGTCTAAGAGTGGAAGGTAGAGTCGAATGATTAGGTAATGTGTCCGGGGAATGATCAGGGGGTTCAGTCAAGGAGTTTTCAAGACTAGAGACAGTTATCGAAGTTGAGTAGGATGTGCTACTCCCCATTAAATCGGAGTATATAGATGGTTTCAGAATAGTGGGATTGTCGCCCTCAACATTTGGAGACCCCATAGCAGTAATGTTGAGGGGGAGAGAGATAAAAAAGGATGAGATAGTGTGCATGTCGAATTAGGGGGGACTAAACCGTTGTATTGGGTGGCTTGATTTGGATAGTACCTAGAATCTGTAGGTGGGTTCCCAAGTAGGCCAGCGTTATGGCTTCCTCGTGTGCGGTGGGCAATTTTAGTCCTATTGTGGTCAGTTGGGGAGGTTGTATGTTTCTGGTAAGGGATGAAGGAATGCCTGTTATTGTTGCCAGGAGAGGTGTTTCTGTTGTGTATAGTTTTGTGTTGGTTCATGGGGCTTACAAGGTTGACACCATATGACTTATGGGTATCACGTGTGGGTGTGGTTCTTGTCAAGTGTCGTTTCACATTAGGATGAGTGGGTGTTGCCAGTTCTCTATGTTTGTTGTAGGGCATTCTATTACTATGAGAAGGTGCATGTTTTTGGTTTGGGGTGCTGGAGTATTGGTGGGTTTTTACGGAGAGTTTGGTATTTTTTCGCACAGCGGTGTCCGCGGGTCTGTAGCTGTTAGCGCGATCCCTGGGAGGATCATTTTTAGGCATTTTATAAGGGCCGCTAGGGTAATATTTGGACGCTATTGAGGCATAAGTGGTTTGGCATTGTGGGGTAGCTGAGTGTCTGGGCTGAGGGTGAGTGGTTGTAGCTGCTTTATGTGCGGTCTTGTCCTTAGGACTAATAGCAGTGTCCGACGTGCCTCCGTTTTTTGGGGGGGCAGTGTATGATATTTTAGGGTTTGTGCAGTGACAAGAGCTGTAGCTGCCACGGCTACGTAAGCTGGGTTGATCAGTTTGTGTTCCATTGCAGATTCGACGCTGGATAGCGGTCCTGTCATGAATGATCCTAATCTTTTTAAATGTTGGAATACGCCTCAGTAATGACTGACTATTGAGGAGGTGATTAGCTTCAGTGGTGCTACCAAACTGAAATAGAATGGGACAGGAGGCTTTAGTGTGTGCCTTACGTAATCTTCTTGTTACACACCAAGATTGCGACAATCCACATTCTTGTAGCAGAGTATTTTTAGCAGTCTTTATGTTCGTACTATCAGGTATATTATACACAATAACATTCTGCATACACTGAAGTCTTTTCAACACTTCAGATGATATATGGTCAATTACTTTTTCAGTGTTTTTTATAATTTCCAGATCGGGATTTTCTGGAACACTGATTAAATATTTGTACGGTAATAGGTCTTGAATAGTTTGGGTGAGGCTAAGTTCTGTTTGGCTGCTTTTAGGTCTACCAGTGGTGAGATTATCGGAGTTTATATCAAAGTTTCTAAGGTCGATATGGTTACATACAGGCCTGTTGCAGGTGTCTAGCGGATGTTCACTTTGTGCACACTTAGTTGGGGGATGGGGTATATGTCTGGGTGAGTAGTCAAGATCTACATCACCGGGCTGGCTATTGTAGGCAGGCTTACATGTACTCCGTGGGCCGCTACTCAGGATGGCCGATTGTGAGATTGCTGGGTGTTTGGGATCAACAGCACTGTCTAAATACTGCTCACAACATGTGGTGTTTTTGTTTGGACTGACAAATGATGTCGACTCTAACGGTATGTGACTGCTTTTATTTATATCGACAAGCGAGATGCAAGGTAGTAATATGTCTTGTCCAAGTAAACGGTGCACGTTAAGTGTGGCTGAGGGAAGATCAGAGTAGGATGCAGACTGATCAGTGTGTTTATAAGGTTTCACATTATTCGCTTTAGTGACTGATTTAGATCTTTTGCAGGTGCTATAGGCATCAGGAGAGATTATATGTTTTTTAGATGGCCTGGTCATTATCGGAAGTAATGTAAATACAAAGTTTAATTAGGTGGACAGCGATAGTTGTAATTTAACTTAGTGAACGTGTGAAGTTTTATGGTAGGATCAGACCCAGTATTAGTTAAGAGTAAATATATTAACGTTAATTGGTGATAGAGATAGCGTGAGAATTAGCAAGATTAATTTATGACGTTGAGTTCCTAAATAAGGTGTCAAATTGTTAGAACCCTATCAGTGACGAATTATTTATCGCTATTAAGTGTTAAATTAAAGAGAAAAACTAATAGGAAAATAAAATAATACCACGTGAAAAAAAGTTACAACCTTCATTACAACCTCCATTAATACATAACTTCTTCCAACTCCTAATAATTAATCATGTGTTTTGGATAAGTACGTTATGTAGATGTTGAACTTTCATTCACAATGTTCTGTAAAAAGAAAAAAGTTACTCTTTAGTAAACAAACTAATATGATGGCAATCATCCAACTTATAAATCGAAACTGCCATATAAGAGGTTGATTACGTACCAACGGTATAACAATAATGTAGTTTGAATAAAAAGCTTAAAGTTACGTCTATTAACACTTGCAAAGCCAGCCGAAAATGAGATGGACGAGAAATAATTTCAGTATAAATGATTCTCAGAAACTAATATACAAACAGAAACCAGTATATAGTCACATTTATAAAGTGCATTAGGCTAATCCTATCTTTGGATCGCCATCCACGGCAATTTACCTTATTTCTTGAGTCGTGTAAGAAAGCCTGTTTGCAACATCCATGGCTTGTGTTGCACCGCGGAACTGTTGACACAGAATATCTACAAATAAATTAGTGCTGTGATGTGTACTTACTTTGAATCGTTCTGTAGAATCGGTAATTACTGATATCTAATTTACTGTTAGTTCCATGATTGTCAGTTCCGGATTCAGCACGTAAGCTGGACATGCTCTGATTGATTTCCGAATATCAATGCATACGATCTCGGACAATCTGACCACTTAAATTTTTTTAAACACCTGTTACAACTTACGAGCTGATCACGAAACGTGAACTCCTCCAAAGCAGCTTCAAAACTGCACACTTTTCAGGTGTTTTCAATTGGGATGCGGAGCTTGAAGTGTCTGGGTTTTCGCTGCACATGTCCATTGCACCCATGTATATGCTCCTAACGTAAGTAGTCAATTTATCCATCTTTTTAGACAGATAACTGATTGTTTTCAGAATCATTTTGGTGTCATAAATGTACAACCTTTTGTTATCATGTTTACATTAACTCCTAATTACGGTTTACTAACTTCCATTAAAATGGATGGAAGCGGTAATGAGAAAAGCTTTGTTTTCGATGAACTGTTTTATTGACATTTATTCAATAGGTACTTACTTCGCTGTAAGTGAGAAGTTCAAAATGTCAAAATTCAAAATTTCGACAACATGTGGAGGCATTTCGTTAGTCGCATTTGTTAATAAAAAGCCTAGACTACACCGTTTGCTGTACTCTGTGCACACTAGAAGTAACCACATGAGGCAGTGGATGATTTTGGGACAATACTGCTACACTGCTTTGAAGCTACGGCGTTCTACACTTCTGCCACACCAACTGAACTGTAGTTTTCATAGTCAGTGGTCGTTGACTGTTACTTCTTCTCAAATTCAGATCTTAACCTCCTCAACTTTTTGTAAAAGGTTGGTCTGGGACAGCCCATCAAGTTTAACACTCTGTTGGCTATAACCAGTCTTTTATCACTTTCATTACACTTTGGATTATTAGTCTAAAAGAAACAATTAGCTGCAGTCAGACTTAACATGTGCATCGATCGAAGGTTTGGACAGTATAAATTACTCACATGCATGGAGTGAGAGTTTTGAAAAAGTGGCGTAGAGCCGACAATTTTCGTGTCTGTTTGGCATACTAAAACAAAACCTCAACATCGGCAATGTATTCGTAACTGAAGTTCATGATAATATCCAAAAATCATATTTATTAATTGCAATTTCATCTTTAAAATTTTTAAATATGCACCGGTTACTAACTGTTTGTCCAAAAAACAGTGCAATGCAGACTTTTGCGTTTTTTCCCAAAATTTCTACATAATATGGAGATCGGGATTGTGGTTCTCATCATGACGTAACATTAGCTAAGAACAAATTCCGACCGGAAATCTGATTGGTCTGTCTATATACTTTACTCCTGTAGCTATTTTTTGTACATAAATAAATTCTGTGTTTTTGCCTTGATATCTGCTTTCCGTTTAATTTTCCTAAACTCACTTAACTTTTAAAAGCAACTGAACAATAGGTCAGGAGCGAGTTAATTAACTGCTAGTGTTTACATACAATAAAAAACAATGTTATTCACTTGTTCAAAAGGTTGTAAAGTTTTTGCACTTAGGTTTTCAGTCGAAGATGGCAATTTTGTATAAATAGTTATTGCACGTGCGATAACTACTCATTATGCATATTAGTACTAATATGCATAATGAATTAGTACTAATTTAAGTTATTGTTTTTCATCTTTTTGTTTATTAGCTTCTGTAGACATTGTTCCTTCCTCTAACTATACATATATTTCGGTTTCGGGTGTTTTAAATTTTTAAGGCGAGACTAATTTATGAACGTACCAATCAAATTCAAGATAGCGGATCTTGGAGCGAAATTCATTTACTCATTTGGCCAAATCCTATTATAGCTGATGTCGGTCCGTGATAAAAGCATTAAATCGAATTCCTAACCTTGACATCCAACTTTAAATCCTACTTTTAATTCGTCACACAAATATACAACCCTCATTTAACCCTGGTAAGTAGGTGGACATTTTCAAGGTCATTCTAACGTTGCTCGAAGGTCGTCCATAAATTATAGTCTCACCACATATTCTTCTGTAGGTACTACAACCATGGATCGCGATTATGCTCCACTTTCGTCCAGCTGTGTAAAGAACCTTGTGGATAAGCTTTTTGATAAACGCAAATTAGCATCTCAAGAAATCGAAAGGTAATTCGTATTGCCTACTGACAGTGAACATAGAGTTGTCAAGGATTATATTAGTCAGGATAAGCTTTCAGATATTTCTCGAATCATTGGATACTTCAGCCAGGACTTTATTCAGTCTGCCAACCCTCATACTCGAAAAGGTGGTTTATTTGGTCTAGCTTCTGTAGCAATCGGATTAAATGAGGTAACGCAGTTGTATGTTACTGGATATTGCAACCTATTTAGGACGCACGTTTTTTTCATGGACCAATAATTTTACCTATAATTCGCACATTCCATGATAACGACCCACGCGTGCGACATTATGCATGTGAAGCCCTTTTCAATGTGATGAAAATAACTAGGAAAGAGACGTTAAATTATTTGAGCGATGTGCTTGATGCCATTAGTCGAGTGAGTCAGGTTAATTCAAAATATTGATATTGCTTTCCTGATAACTAAGAGTACGTCTCGCTTTTTGCTGTACATATATGTATCATACTTTTTTTCTTTTCTCAAATACATTTGTAGATAGAGTAAGATTTTTATACGAGACTGTATGTAGTTCAGGTGTCACATCAGTGGAAATAAAAGCTTAGTGCTGTTGACCAACTACCTATTCTGGAATATTTGATCAACCATTCCCTGATACCCTGTGTCTAACTTCACTATTACTTACCCAGTGGTCCTAGCATATACGAGCAGTTTTTCTAAGGCATCTGTGGTCAAATACTAGTAGCTTACGAGGATCTTCTACTCTTAATTGCCACATTTCGCAGCCGTAAAGTAGAACGGAACAAACTGCCGCGAAGTATACTGGTCCCTTAATTAATAGACGGATATCTCGCCTTCGCCATAGGTGACGTAGGTTGGCGAAAGCCAAACGACAACTTCACTCCCTATCCTTAGTTCAGGTGTTTATGCAGGCCAGTCCTGAAGCAACAACTTGTATTTAGAGGGGGAGGAACGCATTCCAAACATTCTGGTATAGAGTTGCTCAGTGCTACCAAAAGACTGCATTTGATCAGCGTTTTAACCAAACAGGACTATGTCATTTGAGTATTCTAAGTTGATAAGTTGACCTCCTGGTAGGAGATCAATTCCCAAAAATTCAGTCGACGAGAACGTTATTTCCACCAGTAAGTCTATGATGAAGTTAAACAAAAATGGAGAAAGTGAACAGCCTTGACGGACACTACTTGAGGTTACGAAAGCAGATGACAGTCCGCCATAAGCTCTGACTCGACTAGTAGTGTTCAAGTAAATAGCCTTCACAAGGTTTATGTACTTCTGAGGTACGTCTTTCAATGACAGACACTGTCTGTGTTCTAGAACCTGACGAATGGTGAATATGTGGTCGATGCAGCCACGACCAGGTCTGAAGCCAGCCTGACTTTCTCGTGTCTGCAGTTCACGAGTCTTAGTTAGGCGACCGACAATTATTGACGCTAGTATTTTAGATGTTATGTTAGTCATACTAATCCTTCTGTGGTTGTCACAGGATGATTTTAACCCTCTCTTATATATTGGGACGATCAGTGATTGTGACCAGTCAGATAGGATAACGTCCAACCCCCAGATTTTAGCTAAAATATTAGTCAACTTAATCACCAAAACTGGACCACCGTACTTAAAGACCTCTAGAGCCAATCCATCTGGACCAGCTGCCCTTCCTCATTTCAGATTAACTATAGCCTTTTGAACTTCAGATAGATTTGGGAGACCTACTTCAATGTTCCATTCACACTGTCTGGGAATGGTGGGTAGTTGTTGAGTAGCTGAAGTTTAGCTGAACTGCTCCTTAGATTGTTCCGCCCATCGTTCTAAACGTCTGGACTGGGAGCAGATAAGAGTGTCGTCGTTTTCCGAGATGTTCTCACTTACACTTGACTTATTAATTCCAGTTTCTTTTACTAGTCTGAAAAGCTGTCTTGTGTTTCCTATAGCCGCCGCTTTTTCCATCTCTTTTGCTTTCGTTGCGCATCACTGCTCACGATCGTTCTTGGTCTGCTCTCGTACGTAGTGCTATACCTATACCCGCCAGTCCACTTTGGTTAACCTAGATGTGATTTGTTTTCGCCCTTCATCGTGTTCGGGGCCTGATGGGATGAGTTTACGAGAATCTGTCAATGCAATAGACTTAGTAGAAATCCATTGATCTTTCGTAACCCTTCGGTTTGAATCACTAATAGATGTCGTTGCTGTTTCCACAGCTGTCCGTGTATCTTCCGAAGCAACATCTGGGTCAGCTTCGTTTTCAGAACTACCTAAGTGTGACCTTAGTTCCTGAAATCTACTTTTGGCTTCCTTGTCACTGAGTTTGACTCTAATGGGTATTCTTAATGTGGTTTCTCTGGGTCTAGTGAGGCGCAAGCAGATGCGTGCTCGTATTAGAGCATGATCAGAGTCCAAACATGTACTCTTGAACTAGTGGCAGTCTTCTATCGAGCTTCTGCAACGATGACTGATGGCAGTATGGTCTATTTATGTCCATCGTTGATTTGGTGAAGGGGGTCGCCATGTTAGACGATGTCTCTCTTTATGCTTGAAATTCGTGTTTGCTAATAATAAACGATTATCTGAGCACAGTTGCAGCAGATGATCACCATTATCTGTTCCCTGAGCCGGAATATCAAAATACCCACCTAAATGTCTTTCTTTTTGGTTTGTGCTACCTATCTGGGCATTGAAGTCACCTTCTACGAGTACTATGTCTGAACGTTTAGCTTTCTGAAGAAGTTCAGAGAGCTTTCTGTAAAATTCATCTTTTACTTCATCCGTGCTGCAGTCGGTGAGAGCATAGGCAGAAATGACGAAAAGGTAACGACGTGTGTCCCTATCCTTCCGAGTTCTTACGGAGCCGTTTAGCCGAACAGCACATAGACGACTGTTAACGGGGATCCACACTAGTAGTGCTTGTTCCGCCCTCATACTTAGTGCTATGCCTACACACACCAGTCCACGAGAACTAGCCATCTGGTCGCCAGATACACGTAGGGTGTATCTCGTCGGCTTTCCCTTTTTGTCGATGTAAGGTCAAATGAATGACCACACTGGGATCCTGTATGTGTGTTTCGGAGACACAGCATACATCAATGGTAGGAGATTCTAGGGTTTTAGCCAAGGAAGCCTGCTGACCGATTTGACATAGAGTGCGTACGTTGAATGCTCCAATGTGTTGTTTGGAGCGAGGTCTCAGGAGACCTGGGACAGTGTTTTGCGCACTAGAATCGTTGGCTATGGTGACACTTGAGGAGGAAGCCAAAGGGGAAGTTTAGAGTTGAAAGTCGATATAGGAGGAGTAATAGGAATTGAAGAGGAAGGTTGATTATGAATACAGTGGTCTTGCGTGCTGTTAGAGGTATGAGGGCGGTTATCACTTCCCGGTTGCTCACACTCTGTAAAGGTTCTTCTGGAGGTATCTGAAAAGGGAATAGTGTTAGAGGTGGTCATAGTGACCTGAGAGCGTGACCGCAGTGCCCAAGGGACAACTGCTTGAGGCTGGTCACACACGGTGTTTTGTGCTAGTTCGGTACTTATTGAGACGTTATCACCGTGTTATATTTTTCTCTTACGGTTATGACCCAGCTACTCCTATTGCTTAGTATTCTCGGATACCGATTCACTCAACAAGTCACCAAATCAGAACACGGTTGAACAGGAAAGAGGTTATATTCCAAATAACAAGGTTAGATGGAAGTAAGAAGCACAATAGGGAAAACGTTAGTATATTTATAGTTTTTACATGAGAAGATTCTAGAGTATTCTCTAAGTATCGACTAGTGCTGATTGGATGAGAATTATCCAATCAGCGTGCAGCAAAGCAATCGTGCATTGAGCATGCTTTAATCCAGTTTATGTCCCGCTAACACACCGGAAACGGAAATTCGTGGGATAAGGCGAGGTGTGCATTTTTAGGGTCGACCTTTTCTAACCCCACCCCTTCTTGTGAAAAGGGAGCATCGCTGTTATGCTGGTTATCTGAAGGAAACACCTTACTGCTGTCACACCTCAGTACATTCATCGGTACGACTTCGCCTTCGGACTTTGGGTTTGCTACTTTTGTTCTTACCGTTCTTCAACCGATCTACCTGGCATAGTAGAAATTTGAGAAACGATTGTTCCAGCAAGTATAGCTCGGTTGCTTCATCACGATGGGCAAGCCCGAACACCACGTCGAGGTAGCAACAACGGTCGGGGTCCGTGCAGTCACTGACAACTGGACTTAGCCATGTTTGTAGGTGTAGACTACCTGGTTGGGGTCCGTGTGGTTATCATAATCAATGTTTAGAGACTTTGAATGACATGGCTCAAAATCATTTGCAATAAGTGCAGATGCATTAATTTTCTGTTGTCCCCCAGGTCCTGAGATTTTAAATTCCTCGCAAATTTTCTTTGTTTTTATTTCACTGATTTATGTTTTCTTGTCGAGTCGTATCTTCGATCTTCTTTTATATTACCACTGCTATTGCTACTACCTCTAATATTCTGGAATTCGACCACATATCTCCGTCCTGATGGAATATGGCAACTTGGACCGATGTATATACGTACAAGTCCTACGTTGTGACTGACTGAGTGGTTTAAGTAGCCAGATATAACAATGGGCATTTTACTGAATTTTAAATTAACAATATATAGTTTCTATAATCTTAAATGCGGCTGATCCAACTTTTGTTTTGTGGTAACTGGTTGAAAATACTAATTTTATATTTCGGTAGTTATTTTATATTATTAATTGAATTCAGGTAATATAATTTCCAGTCTTGTTTTATTTAGGGTGTATCGGACTCTGACTCCTCTGTTCGTCCCTCAGCCTTACAATGTGATAGACTTTTAAAGGAAATTATCATGGAGACTGAAGTTTGTGACTTAACAGATATTGTCTTATTACTGAAAGAACGTATTTACACGAACAATCCGTATACTCGTCAGTTTATTGTTTCTTGGGTAAGTCATATGGTGTATTGGTTATCTTCAAAAGCAATTTTCTTCCTTACTAAGTTCACTAGGTATGGGCAGTCCTTAAGCAATCAGCTTTTTGGGTTTATCATGGCTGTTCTTGGAGTTGAATTATTACCCACTAGATTACAGTGATACAACAACAATATGAAATATAGCAAAATCTCACATCCATATAAAGTGTCATGTCATTCAGCAGATATGATTTCAGGAGAAAAAACAGGTATAGGAGCGGAATTAAAAAATCTTCCTAAAACCTTATTTAAGGAGTGAAGGAATTCACACCGATAGTTTGATGTGTATTATATCGCCCATGTTCCAAGACACTTATTATGTTCACTAATTCTATGTTTTCTGGTTCCAATAACTTCATGAGCTGTACTGGTGGACAGGTCTCATAGCATGGTGTCTCCGAACGTACTCATATTTTAGCTTACATAAGTAGTCCATTCCTATTTACGAATTTTTCATATCCTTACCTAAGCATAGTATTAAAAAGCGAAATTCGAACTGGAGTTACGAATAAACTTTTAGCCCTTTCGAAGCTACACTAAACTATCACTTAAGGGTAATGAACTTCAGTAATACTTCCATGCAAGTTTCCGTTATTATAAAGTGGGCCAGTATCCAATATTGTATTTATAGCACATCGATTGACAGATCTTCAGCTGGTCAAAAAAGATGTTAGAAGTGTAGTTTGGTAACTTTTGTATAATTTAAGGAACTGATCGTTTTGATACATTTTCATGTTTAAGCATTGGTAGTCAATTAGCACATAGTATAAGTTAACACATACAACATCTTCTTTTTTCGGTGCTTCGGCCATAACTTCCAAATTTTCATCAGATTTTTTTTGGTTTTTTAAGTGTAGTGATAACAAAAAGCTAAATAATTACAGATAAGATATAAACGAGATTGAGAAAAGTAAAATCTAATGTCTCTGTAAATCACCAAAACGTTTCAAACTGCCCAGTGGGTCATTTATTTTTGTTATAATAGTTGTTTGAAGGGCGAACAAGGACTCTCAACCTCTTTTGCTCACGAATAATAACTTTGCCGATATTATTTCGTGTCCGATTGCTGAAAAGCAACATATAGAATGCTAAGTAGTCCTTTGTATACTTGAATTAGCAGACATCTTTGGAAGATGATCAAACTGCGATATTCTTTCCCACTGAGATATTGATGACATGTGAACGCCCCTTGATTTTTACTAAATTATGACTGTCTCTTCACTTTATCCATAAATTAGTTTGTCATCATCACTAGATAGGATAAATTTCTGCTCATTGTAGAGATATTTCGGAAATTCTTAACTTCAGTTTTATAATGTGATAGTGTAGTACAAATCATTCCTCAGCATACCATTGCTTAGTTATTATTTCATATGGGTTATGATAACAGTTGTATTTACTTTAAGTGTGTCGAATCCATTAGCATCTTGAATCTGCCAGCTAATTTTACGAATATAGTTTTCAATAATTTCTCATCAGGTTCTACAATTATAAATCCAGATTAATAATCCATAAAATTGGCCAGATTTAAGGCAGAGTACATCATTTAGAAATTGTAATATGGGAATCAGGAATTGTTTGTTATATAAATTAACGATTTTATTTATATAACAAACAATTCCTGATTCACATATTACAATTTCCAAATGATGTATTTTGCCTTAAATCTGGCCAATTTTATGGATTATTAATTTGAATTTATAATTGTAGAACCTGATGAGAAATTATTGAAAAGAATATTCTTCGTTCATACAATTGTGTTTTTAATATAATGGGAATTTTTCAGCGAATATAGTTTTTTTAAATTCTACGCATATTTCACCTTGTTAACCAGTTTAAACCCTTAATACTTATGATACTGCGGGTTAAAATACAGGTTTACTTTTCGTTAGTAAAGTTTTATGTCAAGCAAAAGCTAGTACATGATTGAGTGAATAATTTCTGTTTTTATACTTTAATACATGTTAGGTGTTAAGAGACTGGTTTATTAAAACTGAAAGAAACCCAGTAATATTAACGTGATTTATTGATAACCTTTCTATTAATCAGATCACTACCTTATATGCTATACCTGGACTAAAAATTTCTGTTTACTTGCCGCAATTATTGGATGGGCTTTTCCGTATACTTGGCGATCCGAATCCGGATTTACGAAGACAGTAAGAATGATTGTTGTTTTATGTTTTAAACGAGTGTTTTTATTTTCACCTGTTTTAAAGTGGAATTTCGAAAATTCTTAATTTGAACTGTACTGAAAAAATAGGCATTCTAAGCAAATGTGATTCAAGTGAGTTACAAATACTATCAGATCTTCAGTGCTGACCGAGTTTGCAATGTAACTACCAAACCAAGTGATTAGAGCTTTGTGTGTCGTATAGTATTCAACGTTAGATGATCAGTAACAGGACGTATAGCTCTAGACATAGATCTCAATCTTGCCTACTATAAAAGTATAGTTTGAACAAGAATGAGAGATAATTTTCCGTGGAATCAGACCTACCTCATTCAGATTTGCGATGTTTTCGATTACAACTTGTAGGTAAATGAATCTAATCCAGTTCTCAAAAGGTCGGTTTATTGGCAGTTTATATCCCATTGTTTGCGAAGTGTGGGTTTCTTTGAGTTTGGAGATACTTTTCGCGAATAAGTTCCCACAGACATATGATCTTTTTTTAAACTACTCGAATTATGCGCTTATTTGTATTTCAGTAATGCCGAACCTCTGTATTTCTAACATGGTGTTGCCACTGGATGTCAACAATCCTTCAGAGACAACGAAGATCGAACACAGAGAGTCGTCTAACATCCTCAACTCGGAGAGGCCAGGTTTCACAAGCATAGAGCAAAACTGCTCTCACCGACGCGTTGTAGATCCGACCTTTCACAGCCAGACTGACATCACGAAGGCGTCAAAGATGGCCCAGATTGGCTTAAGCTGCCCTGGCTTTCACTATACATGCATTGATCTCATCACTCACACTACCACCAGCACTTATGCAGCTATCCAGATACACGAACTTCTCGACTACGTCTATCTGCTCACCATCCAGGGTGAGTACAGGATTAGAATCCTGCCAGTCTTGTAGGAGTACTTTGCACTTCGAAGGTGCAAAGCACATACCATACTTACGGACACTGATTGCCAACTGATTAAGTGCGGATTGCATGGCTTGGGCATTATCGCACAGTAAGACAATATCATCCGCATACTCAAGGTCGATAAGTCTTTCTCCAGGCAACAGATCCACACCACCATTACTTACATCCATCAGAGCTGTTTCCAGAATGTCATCGATGGCAAAGTTGAAGAGGAATGGTGAGATTGGGCAACCCTGCCTAACCCCACTGCTCGAATAGAACAATGGAGAGAGGTAGTTGTATGCCCTCACTCTGCCTGAGGTGTTTTTATACAGGGCTTTTAGGATGTTAATAAACTTCTCAGGCACACCCTTCTTCAATAGACAATCCCAGAGAACAGTCCTGTCCAACGAATCGAAGGCAGCCCTGATGTCAAGAAACACTACGATTGTTGGCCTTTGATAAGTATGGCGATGTTCTAACATTTGGCGGAGGGTGAAGATATGATCAATACATCCTCGACCAGAACGAAACCCAGCCTGCTCCTCGCGAGTCAATCTTTCTCGGGTTTTGAACAACCTACGAAGTATGATGGAAGCCAATAGTTTGGACGCAATCGGAAGTAGACTCAGCCCCTGATAGTTGTTATAGAAACAACGTGAACCTTTTTTAAAGATAGAGACAACTATCAACTTGTTCCATGATGTTGAAACACTCTCTAGCTCCCAGAACTTTGTAAAAATCGTCAGTTCCTTAACCAGAAAGTCACCACCATCTTCAAAGAGAGCCGGAGGTAAGTCATCTGGGCCCGGTGGTTTGTAGTGCTTTGAGAGTTGGAGTTCCTTGCGAAATCCCTCCTCATTTGGTGTATTAGTCGTCACCGGCCATGGAGGGCAGGACAGTCTGACCGATGTTTCCGGAGCAGCAGGCCAGTTGAACTGCCATTCGAAGATTTCTGCCCATCGTCCAAAACGTCGATGGATGTTAATGATTGGCACACCGTCATCCTCACAGATTATTTCGCTCACACCAGAATTCTTGCTGCCAGTGGCTCGGGTGAGCTGGAAGAGCTTCCGGTAGTTACCAGATGCAGCTGCTGCTTCCAGCTCATTAGCACGCTTCGACCACCAGGCTTCTCGGTCCTTACGCAAGCTTTGTCCAATTTCATTACGTAACAGCCTTCGTTTGTGGTCAAACTCACGGTCACCCGGAGTAGACTGACGGGTCTCGATTAGTTGTAAGGAGCCTGAAGAAACCCAGTGCTTATAAGTGGGACGTTTCGCGAACCCACAACTGACTGTACCCGCTATTTTCATGGCGTCATGCAATTGCAACCAATACTCATCTATACTTTTCGGTGGAATGGTAGCCAGCCTAGAAGCTAGCTCGAATCGATACTTACTAGCAACAGAAGTTGCAACCAACTTGCTGACATCAATTCTTTGGTGGCGGTCACTTCGTTGGCCACTGAAAAGCAAGGTAAGATTGGCGCAGACCAGGGCATGATCAGAGTCCATATAGGTACTCCAAAAGGAGCGGCAGTCCTGTACACAACTACACCAGCGGTAGCTGATCGCGATGTGATCAATCTGAGTCAAGGCTTGAGATGCAGAGGGAGGACGCCAGCTGGCACATCAGCAATGACTATGCCGGAAGTTAGTACTAGCCAGAAACAGGTTGTGGTCTATGCACAGTTGCAGTAGACGGTCCTCTTTATCTGTCCTGCGACCAACAAGTCCCCATCGGCCACCTAAACAATTCTCTTCTGTGCCTAGACTCCCAACCCGAGCATTCAAGTCTCCGGCTAGTACTAGAATATCTGTCGAACGCACTTTCTGTAGGAGAAGAGATAACTGGTGGTAGAATTCTTCGCTGATTGCATCCGGGCTGCAATCTGTCGGGGCATAGGCGGAGATATCGAAAAGACATCGTTTCTCACGCCGATTTCTTCTCACTTCGATGGAACTTTCTAATCTAACAGCACATAACCGACTGTTAATGGGAATCCAATCGATTAGTGCTGCCTCAGCGTTAGCGCTTAGTATGACACCAACGCCAGCAAGACCAGACGAAGATGCCACAGGGTCCCCGGATAAATACACGCAAAACAAGCCTTTTGAAGCGATAGATGGAGATCGAATTTGTAGTACTTCACCAGTGTTGAATACGGGTCTCGGATAGACAGCAGACATCGATATGAAGACTTTCCAAAGACATAGCCGGCCCTACCTGTTGTCCGACCTGCATAAGTGTGCGAACGTTGAAGGCAGCCAGTTTGAATGGGGCGCGTGGTTTCAGAAAAACTGCTTCAGCATTCGTGTTTGGTGGTAGCATTCAATTTTCAATCAGGCAGTGACTCGAGAACGTTAGATAGAGCCGAATTTCCACCATAGGCGAGCTGCTGTATAAGTTGAAAAATAAGGATACACAGAGTGGAAATAAAAGAGAGTGGATAAGTGACGTGGTTCAAAAAAAAAAGTGATTGTTATCAAATGTGTATGTGTTGTCTGAATAATAATAGGAGTTTGAGCAGTATATCAAATAATCATTGTCATTGTCATTTTAATTGTGTGCGGGCTATGATACTGTCCGGTTGCCCAGACCGAAGCAGGTGGTTTTCTTAGGGTCCACAGCCCGAGCCTTCGACCTAAAGGTCCGATCCGTAAGGCAGTGGAGCAACCTGAGGAGATGCAGTCCCACGGTAGCCGTTGACCAACGATTGGTTCATACGCCATTTGTTCCTTCAGGATACTGAAGCCCATGTGCACCATTGGTTTTGGATCAGGATTCTCCAACTCCCCTAGGTAAACCCTCCGTGTCCACCAATCCGGTCAAAGCGCCGGAGTTCCGCTTTTCGTCCTCTCAATTTTGTAGACAACACCCCCATCACGAGAAGGCAGTGAATAGAACTTCCCTGGCAGATGCTATATACGCGTGGCCATGTGAGGGTATTTCGAGAGGGAGAGCGGACTTTCCCCACTCTCGGCTGTACTAGGGCATTTGGGGGCAAAATTACTCTAAGTATGACTTGTGTTTGTATTAATCAACAAAATGTCCTATTACTGTTGAATACAAAATAGCTTTTTCTTATTCACAATCATCAGATCAGTTATCGCTGTTACCAACACAGTGTTTTCTAAAGTGTATTTATAAATACGTTATTAAAGTGTGTTTAGTTTAGGGCAGAGGGTATTTTCGATTGATAGATTGTGAATTTCTTCCGTTTAGATGCAAAGTGAATCTGTACTAGTTGAATCACCATTGAATATTTGAGCGTAGAACCTAACTTGAAAAACGTGAACAAAATAATGCTCATTCTATGTAATATAATGCTAAATAATCCTTCCATGTTATCGAGTATAATGCCTGTCTAACTACATAGTTCGACGAAGCTGTAGATATTCTGTTGGCAAAATTATTTCATGTAGTAACTTGTATTATTCTGTACTTTATTGTTTCTATTTAACTTCAACCATGCTCTTATAGTGTTTGATCTTAAGATGTATTTTAATAGTCTTTTTTTCATATTTTGTCTTTTGTACCAATTCATTTACATTTAAGCTGGGTTTTAGTACTTGAATAATTCCCAAGTTGTTTTCACTACTAGTCGATATTATTTGCACCAATTGATCAGTAGATAGTGGCCAGTTTCATGTTGTTTAGTCCTTAGAGAATAGAAAATTCTAGCTGTTGGTTTGCAGTTTGGTCACTAATCAGATTGACTCGAAATCGAGGTAAATATTGCTTAATATTCGATGAAATTGGTTAGTGTAAACTTTTTAGTCCTGCAAGAGGTCTATCCTGGTCCGAATAACCTAGTGGTAACTTTTGTGACTGTGACACATGGTTCAGGTTCTACATGTTATAACGGAACAAATATTGCAGACGTTGGGACTAGTTTTTCAAACTTATTAATTATAATTTTGTCGTATAGTTACTGATTAATTCAATTACTACGTATGCATATTCCACTTATCATAAGCTTTTGGTTTATACGTTAACTACTGTTGTACGGTTTACTTTTTTTCAAGACTTTTTTCTAGTCCATTACTCACAGTCTATTCACAGTCACTTTTGGCTTGTTCATGTATATTTGTTATTTTTAACTTCATGGTATGATTCGGTGCGGTATGTCTGTATATAAACCGCCTCTGTTTAAAATATAAATATCGTAGAGGTTGGGTGCTGACGTTTGGACGCAAAGGTGGGGATATAATGAGAAGCTTACGAATGGTAGATCAATGTAGACTTAGCTTAATGTCACTAGTGCTGGTTGAATGTGTAATTGGCCAAGTCAGAGATTAAGCTATCGAGTAAATAATAGACTAAATTAGGATCATTATTCTGGTTGGTGACTTGGCACATGACATTCGTCAGTGATCACACGACATAAATCCTACGAAGATTCCAGATATCCCTTGCTGAAGAGTCCCAAGTAGTGTAAAACCCAGGTCCAGTAGTTTCTGCCGGCTGCCTCTAACCAAATAACATAACGGTACTTAAAAAGATAAAGTTTCCTGATGTCTCACTATACTTTAATCATTTTTCTGGAATCCTTTGGCTGATATTTCGAGGCTTTAGGTGGATTATACCATTATTATGTGTGTCATTCAGTGTCGTTGGGGGGGGTTTATGTGCTCTCACACACTGATTAAACTCTTAAGTTTACTAAAACTAGGCATTTAGTAACTCTTAATTCCTCACTACATACTTTAAAGTATTCGATGGATTTTATGTGGCTTGATGGGTTTGAATGATAATTTTATGTGCTACTATGTTTAAATTCCTCACTTTTACTTCTGATTTTGTTTTGCTTTAGATGTGAAATGCTTTTAACAGATTTACTCAAAGAGATTGAAGCTAATCCAAATGAAATTGCATTAGATACAATGATCAACAGTTTAATTGTGCACTGTCGACTTTCAGCAACAGGTTAGCTGTTTGTTTAATGTTTCAATGTGTAACTCAAGCCGATTTCTTATATTAATAGATACTGGCTTTTTATCACGTATTACCATTTTTGAACACAACTGGTTAAATAGAGTTGTTAGTTCTCACCATCTACCTAGTAATTTAAGAAATTATACTAACCAGTTTCATCCTGTTAGTTTGGATGTGGTTCTCATATAGTAGTGGAACACACACTTATCAGATTAATTCATTCGTTTGATGCAAAGTCAAATAGGTTTGTTGCTCCTTATTTGACCCAATAATAACTATATCAGATAAACCTGACCATCTCAGGTAATGAATAAATATCAGTTCAGTGAAGCTTTTTTATAGATACTCTTCAAAGTTTGTTTTATAAAATCTATATTCAAATCAAACATATACTTTGGCTGATTTACTCAAGTTACTTTTCATCAGTTGTTTGGACTACATGAACCTGGTTGTATTGCAAGTATTTATGTCTACGGTTTTACTGGGAGTCTGTATTCTAAGTTTATTTTTGAAGTTCAGGTAAGCAGATTTTATCAAAAAACCTATGATAATTATTTTGTCATCCAACTTGATACACGATCGGACATTTTACATTTCTTTAATATTTTTTTAAAAATTGTTGATCTAAACCACATTACTGTTCATTAAAGTTTACCAGAGCGTTATGGACTGAGATATCCATGCATGTTATCACTCACCGTCAGGACTTAGTTTTTATTATTCTGATGAAAATCATGCTTATCATAACATTCGATTCAACCCCAATTCAGTATTGCATTTAAGCATATTATTGTTAAAATATTTGGGTTCTTATAACTGTTGAACCCGTTTATCTGCATCGTTTTGGTCACCCGATAGTGATTGATATCTATATTATGCTTATCGCTAGTAATTAGATTTTATCTTTGGAGGAGTGACTACTGAAACAAGTGGTACGAGAGTAAAATGTGTTAGATTTGCTATCATATGTGCAGATGTAATTTTCAGTACTTGTAGAATCATTTTTTGTTAACAGTCAACAGAGTGTGTCTTGTCATTTAAATAAGTTATATTGATCAATAGGATTCGATTGATTTTGAGAACTAGGTAATCATCTTGATTTTATTTTGATCGTATATCCTTGTTTTGTTATGCTTTTTACCTTTTTAATTACATAACTGCAACTAAATGAAATACTTCCTGGCTTGTTTGTATTTATCATCAAGAAATCCCCTAATTTTCCGTCCACTGGCCCTCAAGATGCCCTGGTACGGTCGAGTCAGTCAGCAACAACTTGGATTTTGTACGTAGGTACATCAGTTCGAGTTGCCATACCACATTAGCACGGATGCAGTTGTCGATTCAAATCCCATAATGGTAGAGGTAGTAAAAGTATAAGCAGTAATCGGAAAGATTAGGGTTTGAAGATGTTATTCAAGGAGTATAGTTTAGTGAAATAAATTTGGAAAGAGAAAAAGAAGAAGGACATAAAGAATACAGAAGATTAGAATTTGGGAGAACACAAAGGGTGGATGCACCTGCGCCATTGCAAACGATTTTGAGCCATGTCATTCAGGATCTCTAACCATCGGTTGCTATCATCTCGCGGTCCCCAACCAGGTAGTCTACACCTACCAACATGGCTCAGTCTACTTGTCAATGACTTCATGGACTTGTGCCATGTTTTGGTCTGGCCACCCCTAGCTTTCTTCCAACCTACTCATACACCGTAAAACATCGCACATCGAGGCAGTCGGTGGTTGGGCATACGTAACACATGTCCCAGCCATCTCGACTGATGAAGTTTCACCACTTCATCAATTGATTTGCCATCCTTACCTAGTACCCGTTTCCTAACAGCTGCGTTACTTAGTCGATGGTCACAGGATATACTAGCAATGTTTCGAAGACACCTATGGTCGAATACTAGTAACCTACGAGTATCCTCTACTTTTACCGGCCACGTTTCACAGCGATAAAGTAGGACGAAACGAACTGCTGCACAGTAAACCCGTTTTTTGGTTGGTAGACGGATATCTCGCCTACGCCATAAATGACGCAAGTTGGCAAAAGCTAGTCGAGCCTTCTGTATTCGTGCTGAGATTTCGTCACACACCAGACCACAAGGGCTGATGAGACTTCCAAGATAAGTGAAGCGATCGACACACTCAACTACTTCACTCCCTATCATTAGTTCAGGTGTCGGTGTAACCCAATCCAGAAGCAACATTTTACATTTCGTGGGGGAGAATCGCATCCCGAACATGCTTGCATTGTTGCTTACAGTGGTCAGAAGACTCTGTGTTTTGTCAAGAGTGGGGACAGTCCTCTTTCCCTATCGAAATGCTCTCAATATGGCCGCGTGTATACAGCCACTGACAGGGTCAGTCAGTCAGTCACAACGTAGGACTTGTACGTATATACATCGGTCCAAGTTGCCATATTCCATCAGGACGGAGATATGTGGTCGAATTCCAGAATATTAGAGGTAGTAGCAATAGCAGTGGTAATATAAAAGAAGATCGAAGATACGACTCGACAAGAAAACATAAATCAGTGAAATAAAAACAAAGAAAATTTGCGAGGAATTTAAAATCTCAGGACCTGGGGGACAACAGAAAATTAATGCATCTGCACTTATTGCAAATGATTTTGAGCCATGTCATTCAAAGTCTCTAAACATTGATTATGATAACCACACGGACCCCAACCAGGTAGTCTACACCTACAAACATGGCTAAGTCCAGTTGTCAGTGACTTCACGGACTGATGCCATGTTTTAATTTGGCCACTACTAGTTTTTTTCAGCCTGCTCCTGCACCAGAAAACATCGCTTGTTGAGATAGGCGCTGGTTAGGCACACGTGACACGTGTCCCAACCACATCAGCTGGTGAAGATTCACTACCTCATCAACCGATTTACAATGTTTGCCTAGTACTCGATTCCTAACCCTGGTGTTGCCTACTCCGTGGTCCCAAATACGCGATCGATGCTTTGAAAACGTCTGTGATAGAATACCAGTAACCTAAGAATATCTTCTACTCTTAATGACCAAGTTTTACATCCATAAAGTTGAACCGAGCGAACTACTGCACAGTAAACCCGCTTTTCGGTTAAAAGACAGGTATCTCGCCTACTCCACAAATGACGTAAAGTGGCAAAAGCCAATCGGGTGTTCTGGATCCGTATCAAGATTTCTTCAGACACCAGACCATCAGTACTGATGAAACTCCTAAGATAAATGAAGCGGTCGTTGCGTTCAACTATTTCACTCCCTTCCACTAATTTAGGCACTGACACAAGCCAATTCTGAAGTAACACTTTACATTTGGAGGCAAAAATCCTCATCCCAAACATGCTCGCATTGTTGCTTAAAGTGGTCAGAAAACTGCATTTTGTCAGAGTCTTCACGAAACACATCTATGTCGTCTGTGTATTCTAAGTCAACAAATTAATCTCCTGGTAGAAGATTAATCTCTGAAAAGTCAGACAATGAATCTGTTATCTTTAAAACATGTCTATGGCTAAGTTAAAGAAGAGAAAAGAAAGTGGGCAACCCTGATGAACGAATCCTGACGACAATTACTTATAAGCTCTGACTCGACCAGAAGTATTCGAGTGGAGAGCCTGTACAAGGTTAATGTACTTCTTCGATACGCCTTTCAACGACAGGCACTGGTGCAGAACCTAATGATCAACAAAGTCAAACTCTGCCTTAATGTCAAGGAATACAACTGTAGTACGACGTCGAAAGGTATGTCTGTGTTCTAGAATCTGCTGAAGGGTGAATGTTTGGTCTATACATTCATGTACAGATGTGGACCAGTCTGGTTTTCTCAGATTCGCTTTTCAAGAGCTATAATTAGACATCGAAGTATTGTTGAGGCTAATATTTTAGACATAGTATTAGTTAAATTGATTCCTCTGTGATTGTCACAAGAGAATTTTTATCCTTTCTTGTAGTCTGAGACGACCAGCGATCAAAACATTTCAGATGAGACCACGTCCATTTTCCAGATTTTAGCTAAGATTTCAATTAATCTTACTGTTAAGACTGAACCACCATCCTTAAAAATCTCATGGGTTAATCCATCAGGCCCTGCTGTACTCCCTCGCTTTAGATTACTGATAGCCTTTTCAACCTCACTAAGATTCGGAGGTAGATAATGGGTGACTGAAGTGTGGCTTAAGGCCAGTTGAACTGTCTCCTAAAGTGTTGTGCCCATTGGTCCAATCTCCTGAATTGAGAGTGAATAGTGGTCCCGTTTTTTACTGAAACAGTTCATTACCCGTTTCCTTGATAAGTCTGAACAGTTATCTACTATTAACTATTGCTGCTGCCTTTTCCATCTCTTCTGCTTTCCCTACCCACCACTGCTCACGATCATTATGTAGGCCTTTTATCAGCCTACGTTTAAGCTGCCTCCGCTCCTCATCGTGTTCGGAGTCAGATGTGATGAATGTCCGAACATCTACCAGTTCTGTAGACGCACCTGAAATCCACTAATTTTTCTTAACTTTTTGCTTCAAGTTACTAGTAGATATCACAGCTGTTTTCACAGCTTTTTGGATATCATGCCACGCTACTTTGAAGTAAATATCACTTCATGGTTGACGAACTCCTTCTTCAGTCGTTCCTGAAATGTATTTTTAACTTTAAGGGGTTTTCTTGCTGTAATTTTTCTACGTTCAGTGAGACACAGACAAGTGCGTGCTCGAACTAGAGGATGATCTAGGTCTAAACATGTGCTCCAGAATGAGAGACAGCCTTTAATGGAGCCATTGGAACTATGGCTAATGCCAATGTGATCTATTTGAGTTCATCGATGAGTCGATTGTGGGGGTCGCTACATTATACAATGTTTCTTTTTTTCTTAAGGTTGGTGTTTACCAGAAATAGAAGATTATCTGAGCATAGTTGCAACAGACGATCGCCGTTGTCTGTTCACTGAGCCTCAACAGTGTAAGAACCATTTAAGTGCCTTTCAGTTTCATTTAGCCTACTTTAGCATCAAAATCGTTTGTCACTATTACTAAATCAGAGCGTCTAACCTTTCGAGGAAGTTTGGATAGCTCCGTATAAAATTCATCTTTAACTTTATCCGAGCTACAATCAGTGGAAACGTAGGTAGAGACAACGAAAAGGCGATGGATTATGTCCTTATCTTTTCGAGTTCTCACTGTCCCGTTTAGTTGAACAGTGCACAGGCGACTGTCGATTGGAATTCAGTCTGATAACCTGTTCTGCTTTTGAACTTAATGCTACACCTAAATCAGTGAGGCCACAGCAATTAGCACTGGGATCTCCAGATACTCAAAGGGTAAATTGTGCCGGTTCTTTATATTGACAATGTGAGGTCAAATGAATGACTGTACTTAGATCCTGTAATCGCGTTTCGGAGGCGCAGCATACATCGACGGCGCGAGATTCTAGAGTCCTAGCCTAAGGAGCCTGTTTTCTTATTGGACACAAGCTTCGAACATTCAAAGCTCCAGCATGTAATTTGATGTTCTTTCAGGAAACGAGGAATAAAATTTTGTGGAGTCAAATCATTAGCATTGGTGGCCCGTGGTGATAAACACATATGCGAATGGTTAGTCGTAGGGATGGAAGAATTACTGATAGGTAAGGAAGGAATTCGATCGTCAACAAGATGATCTCTGGTGGTGATAGAAGTATGAGAGCGGTTATCACTTCCCGATTACCCACCCCGTGGAAGGATATTTGTTCTTGAAGGGCCTGAAAAAGAAACTTAATTAGTGGTGGTCTTAGCGACCTCGGAGAGTAACCGCAGAGCTAAAGAGACAGTTGTTTGAGGCCGGTCGCCTACGACCTTTTTGTTATTGATGCGTTAGTTCCTCACTTCACAAGGTCATACCAGCGCCAGAAACGGAAATCCATGTGGTAAGGTGAGGTGTGACATTTCAGGGTAGACTATTCCTAACACCTTTCTTCCGTTGTGAGGAGACAGCATCGTTGCAGTGCTGGTTGCCCAAGGGAAGCACCTTACTGCTGTCACACCCTCGTCGCCCTCGGGCCTCAAGTTACTGCTTTTAGTCTTACCGTTCTTCAACCGATCCGCCTGGCATGGTAGAACCTAAAAGAACGTGTGTCCTAGCCAATATAGCTCAGTTGAGTTATCACAATAGGCCGACCCGGTCACTACGTCAAGATAACAGCTACGGTAGGCGATTGCCAAAGAAGTCCTAATCACTACCTTCTTGCGGCGGGTGTGTTGTTTACGAAATTGAGACGACGAAAAACGAATGTCCTTTCCTAACCGGGTTGATTGGTACGCGGAGGTTGCACCTAGGAGAACAATAAAACCCTGATTCCAAACTAATGGTGAACATGAACTCCTGGATCCTGGGGGAGCAAATGACGTATAAACCTGTCGTTGATCGCCGGCTACCATATGATTGCATCTACTAACGTCGCTTCACTACCTTGTGGACTAGACTTTTAGATCAAAGGCTCGGGAAGTGGTCGCCTGAGAAAACCACCTTCTTCGGTGTGAACACCCGGAGTTCATCCCAGCGCACAAAAACTAAATGATGACTGCAACTAGAAGGGTTAATCACTCCTTAATTCCCATTTTCGTGAATCATACTTGAAACTATTTGTTAATATTTGTTTTTATCATATATTAGGTCACTTGCCTATTCCTTTATTCTTATTTAGTATATTCCTTTATTCTTCAACTTCTACAGCAGCTCGTCTATGGTGGGATTGTCTATTGAAGAAGGGTGTGTCTGAGAAGTTTATTGACATCTTAAAGGCCCTATATACAAACACCTCAGACATAGTGAGGGGATACAACCACCTCTCTCCATTGTTCCATTCAAGCAGTGGGGTTACACAGGGTTGCCCAATCTCACCATTCCTCTTCAACTTTGCCATCGACGACATTCTGGAAACAGCTCTGATGGATGTAAGTAATGGTGGTGTGGATCTGTTGCCTGGAAAAAGACTTCTCGCCCGTGAATATGCGGATGATATTATCTTACTGTGCGATTATACCCGACTCGTCCAATCCGCCCTTAGTCAGTTGGCAATCAGTGTCCGTAAGTGTGGTATGTGCTTTGCACCTTCGAAGTGCAAAGTACTTTAACAAGACTGGGAGGACCCTGAACCTGCACTCACTCTGGGTGTATTGATCGAGAACACAGCTGGGGATAACCATTTCATTTATACATAATTACAGAGTTCTTGGATAAAATGTGAAAATCATACGTTCAATACTTAATTTGCAAATCCCCTATCAATTGTCTCAATCTTCTTCGTTCCTTCACTGTTATTAAAATTATTCTCTGTTCCTGTTCTCTTCGATTCGATCTTATCAACCTTCTGCTGCCCAGGCATTCCACTTCTGATTGCTTTACATACTACTTATGTCGACATAAGTAGCATACACCACAACAGTGTGAAAAACTTTCAGGCATCAGTCATCATCCATCATCAGTATTACAGGCAATAAGAAAAGATTGCATTAATTAGGGTTTACATGGAATACACCACATAGGTAGTGAGCAGTTAGTAGTTGAGGGGATCGTGCATCTGGGTAGCTATGTAAGTGCTGGTGGTGGCATGAATGGTGAGATCAATTCACGTATAGTGAAAGGCAGAGTGGCTTATGTTAATCTGGCCCATCTTCGGCGCTTTCGTGATGTTAGTTTGGCTGTAAAAGGCTGCATCTACATTGCGTCCGTGTGACCAGATTCGCTCCATGTTTGTGAAACCTGACCTCTCCGAGTCTATGATGTCAGGCGACTATGTGTTTAATCACCGTTGTCTCTGAAGAATTGCTGACTTCCAGTGGCAACACTATTTTAGTATTGCGGAAATTCGGCATCGTGTGTTTGGGCGCAGCGATGATAATTTAATTGGTGTCAGTATCTTGAAATATCGACTTCGGTGGCTTGAACATGTCCGACAAATGTTATCCCAGCGAATTCCACATTGTGTATCATTTTCTGACACGGACTGGTTGGAAAAAGCGGAGAGGTGGTCAGTGTATGACATGGTGTCGTGATGTGAAAAAGAGCTGTGCAGGACTGGGTTCTGTTGGTCTTTCACTACAGTGGCTTGAGACATGGCTCAGAATAGAAGCCAGTGACGATCTTTCTGTAACTTTCTTTTGCTTTCTTCCTATAAGTGAGATTAATTTCTTTAACTGAAAAAATTCTTTCTGGTTGTACTTTTGTTAACTGAACTGCCTCTCCCGTTATTATTACTTCACTCTCATACACTAATTCCCATTCGTCTTTGTTCTTTTTCATTATATCTTCCTTTCTCTATCTCTTCACATCCTTGTTTTTATTGTGTGGCGCATATATCTTTTAATGCCCCAATGAGCCGATGTTTATATGTTGTAATTAATAAATAAACCGTAGTACGAAGTTTGTCATGGCATAGATTTTTTAGTTGTCATTAAGTACGAAACATTGCGGTATATTTATGCCTATATTGATTATTGTATTTCTGTACTCCTCATATTCTGTGTATTGTTTTTCTTATATATACAGTACCATGGATTTTTTCGTGTTACTTTCACTAGCTTGTGCTTTGGCCGATATTGCTTTGAAGCCATCATCTCCACGTAACTCTCAGTTTTCTAATCTCCTCAATTCATCAATCGTTGTTGATACGTCGGCTCAAAGTATTAGTCTCACACAAACTGCTCAAAACGCTTCTGATTCGTGGTCCTTAAAAAGCGGAAATATATGTAACGCACCAGAACAATTAAAACAACGAGCGGCACTAAAGTGGATAAAAACATTTGTTGAAATAGATCCGCATCATATGCTTCCATATGCTTCAGGAATTATTGGTGCTGTTCTTCCCTGCTTTATGCTCTGTGGACCATCTGATGCTTTACAAGAAAGGAAAGGTTTGTTTTTAACTTTCTATTTTATATAGGTTTATTCAATATCACATTTCTGCCCTTCAATTATTCAATTTTGTATCATTTAGAATATGCTTGGGATATTAAAAATCTTGTAGTCTATCTGTATTACTGTATGGAATTGTTTGTCTCACTCAAACTTAGTAACTATGTACTCTGTAGTATTTCTAAAGATAATAGGTTGAAGTAGGTTGGTTGTATGATTATTGACTCAATGATTTTAACTTTCAGTGTGTGTCAGTCATAAACAGTGTAGGAATCAGCATTTGTCATCTTGACTTCTTGGTGTGCTTTGTTGTTCGAGTTGTCCTGTTTTTGCATGTTTTATTCTAATTGTTATAGAAGCGTTTTCATGGGTCCTGTAATTTTGTGACTAACACAATGTGCGTTTTAAATATATGCTTTCGTTTAGAACTTGTCGACATAATCTGTCATATGATCAGTTTATCTTGTCTATTAACTGTCTTAATACGTCACAATTTAGCATTTTTAATTTTCTTGAATGTTATCAACTGGCGTTATCCTTCAAAATTATCGATTTTTATTTTGAGTGCTGTATGTGCCTATTCAGATGGGCCGTCGTTCTATTATAGATTTTCTGAAAGCTTATTCCTTTGAGTTTTGCTTACCCCATGGTCCATAAAGTAGTGAAATGTGTACTGAACTTTTTTTTAATTGAAGAAAAGTACTGTTTTTCCAAAGCCGTAACAAGTTAGTTATGTAAGTTTTATATTTATAAATTAGTTACTTTTTGTTTGTAGCATAACTAGGTGTTAGTTGGGTTCTTATAAAGTCAAACGAATAAACACACTTCCATGGTGAACAGTAGGATACGGGTATATTTGTTATGGTTTCAAATGACTTCATTTTTCCATTACTGTCAAGCATCATAACAATTCTTCCAAACCACTTATCATAAGTATTTGACCGCGTGATTTTACTGATTCTTCTATCTCATCATCCATCAACTGCATGTGTTTTATAAGTTGCCAGTTATCCTCTTAATGTGACAGAGACTGTTCTCGATTGTAATACAGTAAATCATAAATATATTTTGCAGATTATATGGTTTTCATTTTGTGGTCATCGTGTATAAAAAGCTAGGTGTGTATCTTGTCTTTTTGTTAAATATATACACTGGATAAGCTGAATTTTATCTTTCTTGTTTTAATTATTCTAATTATTATTCATACGAAAGTCGCTCTCGAGACAGCTGTGTGCATAAACGAAACGCTTTTGAAGGCTGTTAGATTATTCAATTCATGTACTATGAATAATTTGGATTCATGCGAATCAATAGCTCACAGTGCAATGGATTCGCACCGAGTCTCACTGAATTCAGGAAACCAAAGTGAATCGTTAGTCAAGTTGTAAGTTTTGATGTTCTGCATATTTATGTGTTAAGATAAATTCATAACACATTCTAATAAGACTTAAATATTTTTCTAAAATTTGTTTATGATGTTTGGTTGGTAAAATGACTAACTATTTTATAAATCTTCCAACTGAACGCTAGAATCGGTTTCCTATGCTCTTCTAATGACCCCAGGGTAAATCTACACGAGAATAAAGGCATGAATTATGAAAAGCATGCTTTACTCCAAGGTTAGTTTATGTACAGAAAATCGAGGGTATTTATAGTATTTCAGATGATCTTGGGCTTCTGGAAGGTTCTGGAACCATCCAATCAGAAATGTGATACATGATTCCTGACTTTCTAGATATTTCTGAAAAATTTCTATTCAGTACTAATTAGATGAAGTGCTTTCCAGCGTTTTTAGGGCCCCTCTAAACTTTTTTCGAGGAATAATTTAGATCTCCCCAATACAGCAGGTATTGGCTTACGGAAGCACAATCGCCAGTGCATCCAGAAAATTATTTATACCTTGGTAGGCATGCAAGTTTTCGGATAGTGCATGTGATAAGTGGTTTAAACATTTACTTATCATACACCACTTCTTAACGTCCTTATTATATAAATATGATATGGGTCACAGCATAGGATTTAATGCCAATAATATGGAAAGTTAATTATTGAGTGATCAAGAGCTTTGTGTTCACAAAATTACATTTTGAGATGGAAATTTCAGCAGTAACTATGACGTTTACTTTCCCTTGAATCTTATCACCATGTCTATGATTACAATAATTAATGTATTATTTACAGTCTTTATATCCTCCAATCTGTTGTAATCTGACATCTGACAATTCCATAATATTTTAGCACTTGATTGAACTTCATTTATATTCTAGTTTTATAATTTATGTCAGTGATTTTTCGTTTTCTGGAAGAAGATGAAGTGTTAGTTTGATTTATGCTTTGAACGTACATTATTTACCATGGTTTGCTGAATATTGTTTTTAACACTTAAGAATATTTTGACTTGATAGATATTTTGAAATGAGGTTTAAATTTATTATCAACAGTAAAATACACGTTGGGAAACATACTGTAATAAATACCCGTTTTTTTTTCAAAATTAAAAAGCCACTTGTAACACATTGTAAGATATCATGAACAGATTCAGCTAGTGTGCCAAGTTCCGCCAGAATAATCTATATTGTATGGTTGTGATTGAATGCAAGGGTTGCATGTCTTGATATAAGGATTAATGTCAGATTGCTAAACATAACTATGATCTTCAATTTCCTGTTAGTCAAGGATATCATTGACAGGCTGTTTTTGTTTAATTTTAAAAAACCTACACAACCATCAAATTCAGGTTCGTGTTACCGGACTGAACTTAATGCACTTTATTTTTTTACCATGGTGTAATAAAGATTCTTTCACATTATCCTACGAATGGCTTCTCTGAGGCTTATTCACTGAACACTTTCCTGGTACTGGCGTAAAACAAGGCAATGACCAGAAGGAATATTTGTTTTGAAAAATTACAAATTAATTATATAATACATATACATAGCCTTCGTCTGGTCTCCAAGTGTTTTTCCTACCCCGTGTTTTTCATGTACTGAAGCTCTTCTCCCTGACTGACGACTGTGGCAGCTTCGACACCACGTTTCGCTACATACTACTTACTAGCAATCTTGTGAGTACCGTCCGTCACACTAGAACATGAGCGAAGTTAAACGAGTAATCAGTTTATAATTTTACTGTACCGCGCAATGTGTCATATATACATTGAGTTGGCATCAGTCAGTATACTATAAATCATTCTATAAATTTTTATGAATCATCCAGTTCAGTGACGTAAGATATTGTCAATTGTGTTCAGGAATCTGTCACATAAATAAAAACTCTAGTTTATAGAGAAACCACGCTTCCCATTGTTCTGCAATAGTTTTTCATTTGATTATCTTCCTTTTCCATAAAATTGTGATTTCAGCGACGCGTTTCTTGATGCTTCTTTATAACAGGTTTCCGTGATAGTTTTGTTTGTTTTTAAAAATGATAGCAATATGGGATGTTTGTATAAATCTTCTTTATGAAACCAAACATCCTTGACGACATTACCCAAATATTTTGCCTATACTTTTTATAGTTCACAGGCTGAAAATTCAACTAAACAGTTTACAGACTCATCTCTCAACACCACAACTGATACACTATCTGGTGGACAAAACAATTCACAAATTTTGTGCACAGATGCAATCTTAGAAGCTACTTTTCAACTTCTTAATAATTCAAGTTTATTTACTCGCTTGGCAGCACTACGCTGGATTACTGTACTTGCAGAAGTTTGTTCATCTGATGTTTTTTCTCATGTCGATCGTCTTTTACCAGAAATGCTCAAACTAGTTTCTGATCCTGCTGATGAAGTAAGTTATACAGTGGGAATCAATGAAATTTTGTCTAGAAATGATATCAGCAATTTTGTCTTCATTTCATGCATGACTTTTTAAAATTTATTTTTATAGATGGTGCATTCTACTATTTCATTGATTGGAAAACTCAGTCATCATACTACTGTTGTTGGTAATAATTATCACAACAAAGAATCTGTTATTTTACCTCAAGAATTAGTTAAGTTGCTTCATGATCCGGCTATAGTGAATGGACAAAATAATAGTCAGATTTCTGATTGTTCAATGGAGACTTCATCTCAAGAATCATTACCGTCATCATCTTCTGCTCCAAATACATTTTGTTTACGATTTCTTCTGGACTTGGTCGAATTGTTTAACAAAGATTCAGAATTATTACGGAAACGTGGAGATATGATTATTACGTAATTAGCTTCATGGGTTGATTTTATTTTATATTTCAAAACGAAACAAACTATTGTGTTATGAAAATTTTATCAATTTTTCACAACCAGTGTTGGTTTGAATTACTTAATTTGATGGGAAAAGTGTTTCTAAACAAGATCTTTTCTTCAGTAACAATCCTCATTAGAAACTCGTTATTACCTGACAACATACGCTTGCTTGAAGGCTTCGCAAATGTCGATACTCTCGATAATAATGAAAACACTTTATCAACCAAATAAGAATAGTCTATTGAACATTTTTTCCTTTCAGTGTCAGTCACATGAAATGCTTACTAAGATATGTCCAGTTATCAAAACCATGAATAAGCGTAGTTTCTGTGTAGCAGTATGAACTATTTGTTTTAAATTCATTGGATCTGTGTATGCTTTACCTGAATGGTTGGTCCTACTTCATGATCTGATATCAGTACAACCAACGAATTTGATTTTAACTAATAAATAACGAACATTTTCCGTTTCTATTTTTCATCAGGATTGATGTCAAGTGCTTAGTACTGACTTTTGTTGAAATAATGGAGTGTATATTTGTTTGACCTATTTTTTAAGACTTCAATATTAAGGAATGTTTTATTTAGATAAGTAGACGGATCATGCGTGTTTGGTTTCTCTTTGATAGGTCGATGTTTTTTCTGCCGTAGAGTATTTACTAAATCTTGTGGAACACATGATCTTTTAATATTTTCAACTGGAATGTTGATTATGTTTACCATATCCCCTTAGAAAGTAATGATTATTAGTCAAAATTTCAGTTAACCTGCGTAGGTATTCAGTATTTGTTTTGATTCCTTAATTTGTAAATGACTTTCATCACAACCATTTTATTATGTTCTTTTACTTCTGCCCATTATGAATTCGCTAACGTATTTGCTTTTTGCGTTAAACGATCAATTGCTGTGCGATATTCTCACCCATTCTCAATCTACCAGTCAAAACTGCAGAAGGACCCTAATATTCTTTGTGATTCAAATCTGATGTCATTCTATTTACAAAGTACAAAACCATGGTACGCCATAAATGACAAACTCAGTATGTGAATAACAAGGACACAACTGAGTAGCAGGCTTCTGATTAATTTTATGGATGGTAAAATATATAACAACGGTTAATGAGCCAAATAAAAGCGCACAATTAAATCAATTAAAAAATACCATAAGCCAATCGTGTAATATTAAAATATATTTATAAAAAGCCTCCCTAAAGAATAGATATAAGAGTTTCACACTTTCATTTATTCGCTCCGTCTTAGAAAACCTGGAGTCAGTTAAGGAATCGAATAACTGATGAATAAGTGGTCGTAAATCGTACGAATGTTTGGTTGTAATATTGAACTTCAGTGTAACATGTACTATCGACCCCATATTGGGTCAAATAGAGGGTCTTCATGTTTTGCGTAAAGCACGAAGTTGAAATTCGACAGTTTGTATTTTTCAAATTTTGAGACTACATATAATAGAAGCTGCGGTTCAGTTTCTCTAACCTATTAGACTTAGATTTAGCCCATTTTATTTTAAGGTCCTTACAGGGAGATGTAATCTTTAGTATTTGGTCTGAGGTGTTCTTTTTTGTAATACATCCTGTTTTATTCACTGAATTATCTAAAGTTGCCGACTGTTGAATTTGTGTTTCGGCTCCCAGAGATGTCACTGCCCTAACTGGTCATAGGCATTAATCGTCGTCTTTTATGACATTAGAATGTTACTGAATGTAAACCCTCAATATTCCCACCTGGTCCTATTGTGATGTGTTCTACTTATAACGACAGATATAAGTAGTATGTATCATTAGTTGAAAGTGAAATGCATGAAAGCAGAAGGTTAAGAAGATCGAAGGAAAGAGAACGATAACAGAATTATTGGTGTTGAAACGATAGAACATTGAGGTCTGAGACAATTAATTAACATTTTGCAAATGAATTATTTATTGTATGGTTCTCAAATTTTACCAAGAGATTCTGTAATTTTGTGTTCAAATACATCCGATTGTTCCCACTTGTGTTCTCGTTCATTACACTACCAGACTTGTCAAGTAATTTGTTCATAATCAGCAAGTTTATTAAATCCTTTATTTATTTTGTTTTTACTGTTTTGTTAGCGATCTCTGCCAAGTTCTTGGTGCTGATACGGTTTACTGCACCGTTTCAACAATTATTTCTTATATTAAACCATTGGAATCAGCATTTGTACTGGTACAAGCGTTGAATCGGATTCTTTTAACTCAACCAGTGCTACATAATTTCCGTAAACAATTACGTTGTATTAATACGAAGGTAAGGTGGAATAGGTAGTATTCATTTATAAATATTGGTATATTTTCACCAAGAGATAATCACAAAATATGTTAATATTTGATTCTGCTAACATCTCTTAGTACTATTCGATGCTTTCCTTCAGTTGATTGTTTAGAGGTTTTATTTGTTTATTTTTTCGCTGTACTAGTAAATTTTATCTAATAATACTTAATTGTTAAAATAAACTCGTTTTTAAACAGTATATGTTTCAGGGAAAAGGTCGGTCTTCTAGCTTCGGAGAAGTTTTTCAACTATTAGCCATTTATTCTGGATTGCCAAAAGTTTCATTGATCCTCGATATATACCCCGAATCGATTTCATAAATCTCATTCGACCAACATTGTTTTAAAATGAGATTAAATTAAGTAATGGGATATCAAAAGTCGAATACTAAATGTTTTAAGCCTATTATGTTTCTAAAACCATACAAGCGAATGATTACAGCCTGATCCAAATTGTTGAGTTAAACATCACTCAGTTTTTATGTAAGATAAAACCAATTAGAACATAGATAAAGACAGACAACAGACGGACTTATTCATTTGTAAATAAGAATGAACATAATTTATCGTTCGAGCTTATCCCATGTAACTCATACGATTACTATGTGTCTACTTTATAAGCTCTTTACTTATCCAAAAAGAGCTAGTGCCAGTATAATTCAATCTTTCTCAGTGATTGTTTGCTGAAGTCTATCTGACTCGAATATTGATTAGTTCGTGATGATAAAATTTTACGCCATTGACCTTCATATCTCAACTATTAGTTTGTGATAGTAGATCACCTGATTAAAAAATTGATTCTAGTTACTACGCTTATCGATCATTCAATATGATATACTTTAAAGAGCTACAACAATACTTGGTGTTGAGGAATAATCCTAACCCACTGAATGTCTCCTTGTCAAACAATAAAATCGAATTATGAGTGATTTGTTAAATAATCACAAATTCTTCTATATATAACATAGTCCCCACTTTATGTAGTTAAGTAACATAAAAATATATGCTAAACAACAATATTATTTGTGAGATACGTCAGTGTATTGACATCACTTTAGCTCATCCAAACAATTATGCCTAATGATACTGACAGTACTTTAAGTATGCCACACGACTGATTTCAATTCTTACACTTTTTTTTACATTATATCTTTATATTCAAAGCATTTGTCTATTTTCCTTTTTTATTTTACAAAACAAATATCTACATTCTCTCCATCGTATGTACATATTTTAGGCCCAATGTCAGTTGTTTGAAAAACTGTATCGTGCTTGGTGTTATAATCCTGTTTCTCTGTTAGCACTATGTATGCTGACTGAAAATTATAAACATTGTAGTCGTTTAGTGAAATCATTGTATCCTTTTTTAATTGGAAAAAAGTAGAATTTTAACAATGGATTTAATTTTCAATCAGTTTTTTAACAGCATATAAAATAAATGAAGTGGTTAGTTTTTTATAATTTTCATTGAATAGAACTAATCTATAGTGTGAGATTTAAAGGGCATTTGTAAATGTGTTGTGTGTACAAAGAGCATGCAGCAATTATTTCTGGTATTGTTGTATTCTATTCATCGTAATTAATAGACAACAAGTTAATCAATTCAAGATAGTAGTGGTATAACTTACCACATGTTGTATCTCGAGTCTAATAAAGCTAAAAATTTCGCAATGAATTCTAGGGAAGGAAGTGGACTTGGCAGCTTCGCAAAAATATTCAGATCACTCTGTTAATTACACTTACTGTATGCAAGGTAAGTGAACTCCTTTGACTAATAATCGCGGTAGATCGAGTGAAATACAAACGGTTAGTGAAATTACTATGTCTGAGGAACTGAAGGATGCTTTTGGTGATTTTTGACAAAATTTACTCCCTTTTCTGACTTAAGAATTAAACAAATCACATCATAGTGCCATAATATCAAGTATCATTTTCTGATAAGTAATATGCCTTTAATGATATTTAAACCATAACTTCGTTCACACTTTTACCTCATTCAAAAATTATCCCGGTTCCGTATACGTTGAGATATACGTTTTTTTTTAAAAAAATGTACAATTTCATTTATGTGATAGCTTAATTGTATTTTAATAATTAGAATAAATATTGCGGGGAAGAAGAACAAGGAGATTTGATAAACAATCATATGTCAACTAAACGATACTTAGTTCAAATAGGGAATGAATTTATGCGTAAGGTAGTGCGTTCTGCATGCTCCATGCGTTAGTTTTATTCCTTAACGATATTATTTTGTTTTTGACTAAGCGGAGATATTGTTATTACTGTTGAAACTCTCTGTGATATGGATCAGCTAATTCAGATGATAGAATCACCAATATTCTCCAGTAAGTTTATACATCAATGATAATATTGAGAATTGTTTAAATTAAGTCACCTACTGATGTACCCTTACGTATAATAAGTTTCGACATATTACTCACTAAAGAAGCACAATATACAGTTAAAACGTAATGTTTCATTTTTCAGGTCTTCGGATGCATATGCTTGATAAACGATTCAGTGCTGATCTTCGCGAAACTTTATATTGCCTACTTATGTGTCTTCCACAAACAGATGCCTTTCAGACACTTTGGCGACGCTTACAATGCTTACCACCTGTGGAATATATTTCAGATAATCCAGTGTAATAATTATTTTCTTTAGTTTCTATTTATATCCAGATGCTCTGTGCAATCACAAGATCTGAAACACGGAGAATTAAATATTGACTTGTAGCGTTATTAAGTGTTAAAAATGATCTACATGGTTATAACAAGAACTCATTTAAGTATAGCTGGATGTAATCAGCATTTAATTTTCCAGTGTTTGAAATCTTATGGTTATCTTTCAAGAGTTATATTACCTTCTTCATAATGTTTTAAGACGTTAAATCCTTTAATGAGACACGGTAGGGATTTTCCCATTGCTGTTATGACTGACTGTTTTTATTCTTTTGTATTGAATGTCATGTTTAAAGAATTCTCTATTAATAGTAGTCATTTTATTCTGACTTTTGTTGTCTTATTCCCAATTTTTGAGCTTTTTATGCATTACTGCAATCCGTTATAAGTTAAATGCATTTGCGACCTAATGAATTTACGCCTACTGACTTTATATAACAAATCTGGGTAACTGTTTATGCTACTTACTAATAGAAAGTAGTTCGATATCCCAAGCTTTAATAAAGTGGAGTCCCCTTGAGTGCTTAGTCTGTTTGCTATAATAAGAGCAAAACTGTCATAGTTAACTGTTATTCATTGGATTTGTGTATAATGGTTTAGTTATCTTGAATAAGATTTCCATATTGAACTAATATTTATTGTTATAAGGTATAAATTTTAAAACCATTTCTTTTTGTATTGATCCACTCTTTTAAGTAGTCGGATTTCAAAAGGTCCCCAGTCTACACAGAATATAATTAGTGTGTACATCAACTTTAATGAGTTATTTGATTACTTTCATTCAATTCAGAAGCAATCTGATGAATATCGTTTAATGAAAATGATAAATCACAATAGGAATGGAGCACAACCACAAAATCAAAATAGTTATACAATATCCAACGAAAATCGTTCAAATAGAGGTAGTCTTGGAAACGTTTTTAATAAACTGGCTGTCTCCGATGAAAAGCCATCTGATAATATATATCCAACTGATATTCAGAGGAAAATTGATTCTAAAACCACAGTTTGTTCAGCTAATGATTATCTTACTGCGGTAAATTTGTTTGCTCCTTGTAATATTGTTTTAATTATTTTCGTGAATTAAATGATATTAATCTTAAAGATGCTCTCAGCAAGCACAATAACAGCTTCCCTACTCGCAGCATAATCTCCACGCTTTTTTATAGCCTATCATGATGACAGGAAACTTAATGTATTTAACTGATGTAATGGCATGTGCAAAGTGTTTTTAACTTACTAAAGCTAATATTTAAGTATGAACTTCATTTATGGAAAAAAGTATTCAAGGGGTTTCAAACAAACCACCTCTTCTTAGTGTCTTCTGAATCGTTGCTGAGAAGTGATTTCAAGATTTCACATACCACTGTGATTTATGTTTCTCGTATATACAACCAAAACAAATGCTTATTGTGTACATAAAGTTAGCTATTTGTTTCTCTTTTTCCACCTTGGATTGACTTGTCAATGTTTTTAAGTGGAAGTTTTTATCTATTTCACCAGATATTGCATCATTTTGTAATTATTCCATTGATTACTTTGGTCATTTGCTACTCTCACTGTTCGATCGTAAATTCATTTTCAACACAGATGTTTATTGATCCACGTTACCATACCTCATCTCAGCACAGCAAGAAGAGAGAAATGGGACTAATACCCATAACAGTCATCACAATGAAAAGTATAATTAAAACAAACAAATAAAATTGATTAATGCGAATTACAGAGTGAATACTACCATAGTTTTTTATTCTCGCTAATAATATTGCTCTCACACTCTAGCAGACGGGTCGGATATTTCTTCAAAAATGTTCTGTTAAATTTGTCGATATGATTCACAGTGTAGTGAGATATTTATTTTTAATTTGAGAAGATACAGTAATAAAGCTGAATTTTCATCTGTACTATCGTTGATGTATACCTAGATGCTTCATATTGAGTTTTATCTAATATTATTCTAATATTTTTTTTCGAAATCTTTTTTTAGAGTTTTGCCAATCTAGGAATAAACATTGACTACGGTGCCCCATTGAATATCGTTGATTAGTTGGGTTTTTGTCGGAATCGTTTGCATGTTGAATATGATGCTTTTTATTGATTTTTGGATTTTTATCTTTATATACAAATGACTCCATGTGATCACTTCTATTTACATGTACTATGTTAAATTGTGATTTTTCAATACTTCTGAAACTGCATATAACTGGTGATTGAAAATATGATACATTTAAGGTCACTTCATTTACTTTAACTTTTTCGTAATTCTTAAATATGATTTTTCTTCATTACCAGTCTTTTGTTCTTTTATCAACTGTGATCAATAAGACGATTGAACTTTCTTGTTGGTGTCCTTTTACAACGGATAATTTTCATTCCCATAACGCAATGCTTTTTCTTTTGTTATATATATTCAGTACTTTATACAATTTATTTGCATGGATGTGCGCAGTTGGTGTTGGTCACGTGTGATGAGGTAGCTTGTAATTGTTGCTCAACTTCAAATAGACTAAACATCTAACCAGTGGATCCTTGTAGTGTGTATATGTACAAATGGAGTGGATTGTTAGGTGTACTTTGTCACATTGCCTACCAAATTTGACAACACTATTTAAGTCTCCCTTCCCAAGTTTGGCTGTTACGACTTTAAATGTATGGAAAACAGCTGAGTTTTTTTCAGGTAAATGGTTTAATCCAAAAAAAATAAAGAAATTTTTAAAATGTTTATCAGAATTCAGGATCTTGTTATTCTGAATTGTGGGAGTATTCTTTACTGACATTGCATTGACAATTCATTGACGTTTTAATATTTAGTCTATAGACATAAAATTGTTACTAAATTAGATAGGAAACTGTGATAGATTGTCTAAATTCAATTAATATTTCAGTCAGTTTGTCTAATGATATTGCATCAACACTTCCTCAAAGATCTTTCCAGTCAGTTTTTTAACTTTTCATTGTATTTTCCATTTCGTAGCTAGTTTCAGCTTTATCAACTGCTTAAGGTTTAGTCATCTAGCTTCATCACATGTAGACTCAAAAGAATGAAATTGACTGATAATCCATCATAATTTTACGTGATGTATTCTCCCCATCATTACAGGGATTTGATTTAAGGGAGACATACTGAGTCATTTTGTACAACCTTTTCAATTGTTGTTTTGGATCCAGTATTTCATATAAATACTGACTACTAATTAGTGTTGCTTTTGCTGTATATAGTCTTCGTCGGATATAACAATTCGTTTAACACTCGTGAGTGGGATAAATATGACCTTATTTTATTTGTTTACTTTTGGAAGTATATGTTTCAGTCATCGGTGATCTGTTACTAGTATCATCTTAAATTTGATTAGATAAAAGGGGTGCTAGTAGTCGTCCATCATTTTGGAATTAAAACATTGTCGTACGACCTAAAAAGACATGTAATGCATAAAACTATTATCAGGATACAAGTCTACTATCAGTTGTGCCTAAGGCGCTGGGTTCCACTGTTTCTTATAACCCGGATTTTCGCTCCGAACATTTCCTATATGCTGACATATAATAAATCACCTGATGATCCATTAAATAGAAAGAATTAATAGTCGACATATCTGTATCAAATTTCTTAAGGAAACCTGCTGGTCCGATCTAACCTCAAGACTTAGTAGTCTGAAATGTCTTGGGGACACCTTAGTACTTTCACACTAGTGATTTACTGAAGAGACACATATAAACATCGACCCAAGTTTCCGCATCTCATTAGCATAACAAGATGAACAAATTCATAAAAGCAGTTACTTTAATGGTAGTAAAGAAACGTTTCATATAAGGATGTGATATAGGGAGAAAGAAAGGTATAAAATAATATTAATCCCAAGGTTTAAGGGAAGACAAAGAGTGTGTACGCCGACGCCATTGTGATCGATTCTGAGCCATGTCACACAGAGTCTCCAACCATTGGTTACAATGGTCACGCAGACCCCAATTAGGTAGTCTGCATCTACGAACATGGCTTAGACCAGAAGTTAGTGACTTCAAGGACTGATGTCGAGTTTCGGTTTGGCCATTTCTGACTTTCTTCCAGCCGTCTTCAACACTAGTCAGCATTACGCGCCGTGGTAAACGGTGTTCAGGCATAGGTAACACGTGGCCGAACCATCTCAGTCTGTGAAGATCCACAACCTCATCAACTGATTTACCACCATTCCCTGATACCCGGTGTCTAACTTCACTATTACTTACCCAGTGGTCCTAGCATATACGAGCAGTTTTTCTAAGGCATCTGTGGTCAAATACTAGTAGCTTACGAGGATCTTCTACTCTTAATTGCCACATTTCGCAGCCGTAAAGTAGAACGGAACAAACTGCCGCGAAGTATACTGGTCCCTTAATTAATAGACGGATATCTCGCCTTCGCCATAGGTGACGTAGGTTGGCGAAAGCCAAACGACAACTTCACTCCCTATCCTTAGTTCAGGTGTTTATGCAGGCCAGTCCTGAAGCAACAACTTGTATTTAGAGGGGGAGGAACGCATTCCAAACATACTGGTATAGAGTTGCTCAGTGCTACCAAAAGACTGCATTTGATCAGCGTTTTAACCAAACAGGACTATGTCATTTGAGTATTCTAAGTTGATAAGTTGACCTCCTGGTAGGAGATCAATTCCCAAAAATTCAGTCGACGAGAACGTTATTTCCACCAGTAAGTCTATGATGAAGTTAAACAAAAATGGAGAAAGTGAACAGCCTTGACGGACACTACTTGAGGTTACGAAAGCAGATGACAGTCCGCCATAAGCTCTGACTCGACTAGTAGTGTTCAAGTAAATAGCCTTCACAAGGTTTATGTACTTCTGAGGTACGTCTTTCAATGACAGACACTGTCTGTGTTCTAGAACCTGACGAATGGTGAATATGTGGTCGATGCAGCCACGACCAGGTCTGAAGCCAGCCTGACTTTCTCGTGTCTGCAGTTCACGAGTCTTAGTTAGGCGACCGACAATTATTGACGCTAGTATTTTAGATGTTATGTTAGTCATACTAATCCTTCTGTGGTTGTCACAGGATGATTTTAACCCTCTCTTATATATTGGGACGATCAGTGATTGTGACCAGTCAGATAGGATAACGTCCAACCCCCAGATTTTAGCTAAAATATTAGTCAACTTAATCACCAAAACTGGACCACCGTACTTAAAGACCTCTAGAGCCAATCCATCTGGACCAGCTGCCCTTCCTCATTTCAGATTAACTATAGCCTTTTGAACTTCAGATAGATTTGGGAGACCTACTTCAATGTTCCATTCACACTGTCTGGGAATGGTGGGTAGTTGTTGAGTAGCTGAAGTTTAGCTGAACTGCTCCTTAGATTGTTCCGCCCATCGTTCTAAACGTCTGGACTGGGAGCAGATAAGAGTGTCGTCGTTTTCCGAGATGTTCTCACTTACACTTGACTTATTAATTCCAGTTTCTTTTACTAGTCTGAAAAGCTGTCTTGTGTTTCCTATAGCCGCCGCTTTTTCCATCTCTTTTGCTTTCGTTGCGCATCACTGCTCACGATCGTTCTTGGTCTGCTCTCGTACGTAGTGCTATACCTATACCCGCCAGTCCACTTTGGTTAACCTAGATGTGATTTGTTTTCGCCCTTCATCGTGTTCGGGGCCTGATGGGATGAGTTTACGAGAATCTGTCAATGCAATAGACTTAGTAGAAATCCATTGATCTTTCGTAACCCTTCGGTTTGAATCACTAATAGATGTCGTTGCTGTTTCCACAGCTGTCCGTGTATCTTCCGAAGCAACATCTGGGTCAGCTTCGTTTTCAGAACTACCTAAGTGTGACCTTAGTTCCTGAAATCTACTTTTGGCTTCCTTGTCACTGAGTTTGACTCTAATGGGTATTCTTAATGTGGTTTCTCTGGGTCTAGTGAGGCGCAAGCAGATGCGTGCTCGTATTAGAGCATGATCAGAGTCCAAACATGTACTCTTGAACTAGTGGCAGTCTTCTATCGAGCTTCTGCAACGATGACTGATGGCAGTATGGTCTATTTATGTCCATCGTTGATTTGGTGAAGGGGGTCGCCATGTTAGACGATGTCTCTCTTTATGCTTGAAATTCGTGTTTGCTAATAATAAACGATTATCTGAGCACAGTTGCAGCAGATGATCACCATTATCTGTTCCCTGAGCCGGAATATCAAAATACCCACCTAAATGTCTTTCTTTTTGGTTTGTGCTACCTATCTGGGCATTGAAGTCACCTTCTACGAGTACTATGTCTGAACGTTTAGCTTTCTGAAGAAGTTCAGAGAGCTTTCTGTAAAATTCATCTTTTACTTCATCCGTGCTGCAGTCGGTGAGAGCATAGGCAGAAATGACGAAAAGGTAACGACGTGTGTCCCTATCCTTCCGAGTTCTTACGGAGCCGTTTAGCCGAACAGCACATAGACGACTGTTAACGGGGATCCACACTAGTAGTGCTTGTTCCGCCCTCATACTTAGTGCTATGCCTACACACACCAGTCCACGAGAACTAGCCATCTGGTCGCCAGATACACGTAGGGTGTATCTCGTCGGCTTTCCCTTTTTGTCGATGTAAGGTCAAATGAATGACCACACTGGGATCCTGTATGTGTGTTTCGGAGACACAGCATACATCAATGGTAGGAGATTCTAGGGTTTTAGCCAAGGAAGCCTGCTGACCGATTTGACATAGAGTGCGTACGTTGAATGCTCCAATGTGTTGTTTGGAGCGAGGTCTCAGGAGACCTGGGACAGTGTTTTGCGCACTAGAATCGTTGGCTATGGTGACACTTGAGGAGGAAGCCAAAGGGGAAGTTTAGAGTTGAAAGTCGATATAGGAGGAGTAATAGGAATTGAAGAGGAAGGTTGATTATGAATACAGTGGTCTTGCGTGCTGTTAGAGGTATGAGGGCGGTTATCACTTCCCGGTTGCTCACACTCTGTAAAGGTTCTTCTGGAGGTATCTGAAAAGGGAATAGTGTTAGAGGTGGTCATAGTGACCTGAGAGCGTGACCGCAGTGCCCAAGGGACAACTGCTTGAGGCTGGTCACACACGGTGTTTTGTGCTAGTTCGGTACTTATTGAGACGTTATCACCGTGTTATATTTTTCTCTTACGGTTATGACCCAGCTATTCCTATTGCTTAGTATTCTCGGATACCGATTCACTCAACAAGTCACCAAATCAGAACACGGTTGAACAGGAAAGAGGTTATATTCCAAATAACAAGGTTAGATGGAAGTAAGAAGCACAATAGGGAAAACGTTAGTATATTTATAGTTTTTACATGAGAAGATTCTAGAGTATTCTCTAAGTATCGACTAGTGCTGATTGGATGAGAATTATCCAATCAGCGTGCAGCAAAGCAATCGTGCATTGAGCATGCTTTAATCCAGTTTATGTCCCGCTAACACACCGGAAACGGAAATTCGTGGGATAAGGCGAGGTGTGCATTTTTAGGGTCGACCTTTTCTAACCCCACCCCTTCTTGTGAAAAGGGAGCATCGCTGTTATGCTGGTTATCTGAAGGAAACACCTTACTGCTGTCACACCTCAGTACATTCATCGGTACGACTTCGCCTTCGGACTTTGGGTTTGCTACTTTTGTTCTTACCGTTCTTCAACCGATCTACCTGGCATAGTAGAAATTTGAGAAACGATTGTTCCAGCAAGTATAGCTCGGTTGCTTCATCACGATAGGCGAGCCTGACCACCATGTTAAGTTAGCAGCAATGGCCAGGAAAGCGACGATTGGATATTTTCATGTACTATATATATATTATTTAC